TAACACTAGCTGTTTGACTAGTCCTTATCTATATTGTTAAAGACACATAAGCACAGAGTTTGATTAAATTTTTCAAATAAAAACACTAATACGATTCTGTATCTTAAAGCTGAAAAAACATTTATTAAATTCACACGAATATGGAAAAAAACCAAGATGTTCTTATTCTTTTGTTGCGTAAGCATGTTATTATTAGGCATGTTAGAAAGATAACGTAGGTAAAAATCTTTACATTTGTTTTGTAAAAAATGGTGAAGATAATTCATTTTCTTTATTAGATATAACTGTCGCCCGCGACTCCGTCCGCATGGATATATAAAAAAACTTAATAAGTGTAGCCTATGTGTTCTTTCAGGCTATGTTCTATACGTACGCCAAATTTAATCGAGGTCCGTTCAGCCGTTCTAGAGATATCTTCAAACACCCATCCATCCACATCACATCCATCTAAACATTCGCATTAATAATATTAGTAAGTTAAATAAAAAGCAGCTCTTCAAGGCATAAATTCGAAAAAAAATGAATAAATAGTATCCTATGTCCGTCTCCTGGCTCTAAGCTCCCTCCTCACCAATTTTCAGCCATATCGGTAAAGCCGTTCTTGAGTTTTAAATAGTGTAACTAACACGACTTTCTATTATATATATAGATTATATTATAACATTGTATATCGCATCGTATTTTCTTCATCTCATTATAATTTTAGAGTAAAAAGACAACGCTCTCCCTTCATTTCGATAGTTCCAAAAGTTGTTTTTTTTTAATTGACAATTGCTTACAGAGAGAACAAGATTTCGCCGCACTTGTGGTTTTAATTCACCTATTTATAAAACAAAGCAGATTTAAATTATGTCATTTTTAATTTTTCCCTCACCATATAAAATATTTCATATTAGGTATATGTACTTTTTAAAAAATATTTAAAAAACCGATTTGTCTAATAAAAGTAAATCAAAAATACACAACATATAAAATTTATTTTACGTAAATTTTTTCGTATATTTTTACAAATAATACACAAAATAAAAGTGTATTTATTTTACGTGTATACAGTAAAACTGACAGCTTATTTGTCATAGGACCTCATATATTTGTACTAATCGTGAGAGCCACAGACCGAGCCCTCAGGGAATGTAGAGTTCATACACCTCTACTGCTAATGCTTCCATTACCTTCTCGACTACATTTGCAGGCTGATTAACTTTTACGATATTACTTTCTTTATATTCATAATACAGTTTGTAAAGCGAAAACATAAAGACATAAGTTTAAAATTACTCTATACACTGCTGTAATATTTGGATTTTAAAACAAGTAAGAAACGAATTTAATATCTAGAGACATTATCTACCAGTTACAGTGATGAAAATATACAATTCGAAATTAGATAGATTCGAATATTATTGTTATAATTTTCTCACCAGCCAGTGTTTAACATTCTAGTTTTAAGTTATCTGTAATTTTATTATTTTTTTTATATATCATAAGGCGGCAAACGAGCGAGCGGCCACCTGAAATCGCTGAAATAGCGAAGTAACCGTTACCCATAGACATACGCAATTGCATTGCGTTGCCTACTTTTAATCGACTGAGGAGAGATGCACAGAAAGAAAATATTTTCCCTTCCCATGATGAGAGGATGCTCTCATCCAGAAAGTCCACTTCTACTTCCCATCCTTTCCTTATAAGAAAAACGGTGGGAAGAGAAAGAGGACTAAATTAGGCCTCCGGGATGCACTCATCAGACGAAACGCGGAATTGCTTTCACTTCACGCCTGTCTTCTGTGTGGTCGTGGTATTTCACCGGGCGAGCCGGGTCAATTCGTGCGAAGATGTTAAAGTGGGCTCTACCACTGTTAAAGTTCTTTTTATAAATGTGTCATTAGGTCACGAAAACCATAAAGGTAGAGGTCGTAAATCTTTTAAATAACACGGTAAGGAGTGAGTCACGTATCGTTTACGTCTTGTGAAGTTAAACGTATCTTAAAAGCATAAAGTCGTTACCTTGAGTTCTTTAAGACTTGACCGAGCTGTACGTCTAATGCTTTTAAAGTTAAAGTAAGGTAAAACTTGTTGGTAAACTTTATAACAAACTGGTTGTCGCCCGGGACTCCGTTCGCGTGTAATTTAAAAAAAAACTTAATTCTATAGCCATGTGTTCTTCCTGGCTATGTTCTACATCTATGCAGCCGTTCTGGAGGTTCTAACAAACATCTATCCATCTATCCATTTGTATTTATGCTATAAGTAAGAAGCAAGATTGTTAACTTACTTGCAGTACTATCAAGGTCGTAACGTGATATAAATAAGACTATACATAGACAGCCATTCCATAATATATTGTCAAATGCAAAAGACAAGACATAAAAATAAATTGAAATACGATAACTAACATATGGGAAAGTAAAACGAGTACATAAATGATTTCTTATGTGGTTCAGGTCTCTCTTGGGTCCAAAAAATATGGACTAAGTGGATAACCTAAGTCAATAAAATTAGAAACAGTTTTTGAGAAAAACAAAGTTTCCAAATATTTCAAATACATGCTGCAAATTGGTGGCATAAAAATGCAAAAGAAATTTTACAAACCTTCTTTATTATAACAGTAAATATATTATATTAAGAACAAAGATAGAAACAAAAATGTTAAGGGATCGCACAGAATATAAAGTAAACATACGAATTCCCCATCGAAAAGAAAAATACTTCTCATATCAGTATAATAGATCCAAAATAAACACTCCACCGTATTTACTGTATACTAGCTGTGCCCGCGACTTTGTCCGTGTGAAATACTGTCTGAACTGCGCAGTGTAATAGACAGTAGTTGGACATTGCAACGTTATTTTTCTATAATAAAATATTTTTTCTAAAATGTATTACGTAGCCTAATTTACTTGTTATTTAATCAGCTGACAACAAAAGTCGCGTCAAAATCGGTAAAGCCATTTCAGATATTAGTTGGAACAAACAGACAGACAAAAATTGTAAAAAATGTTATCTTGTTGTTATTGTTGTTTTCACCGTATGACATACTAATATTATAAATGCGAATATTTAGATTGATTTAGATGGATGGATGTTTGTTTGTAGGTATCTCCGGAACGGCTGAACGGACCTCGCTGTAATTTGAACGCAGTCTGGAAGAATACATAGGCTACTTATTAAGTTTTCGATTCCGCGCGGACGGAGTCGCGGGCGACAGCTACATTCATACACATGTTGTAAAAAACGGTTATTTCAATATTACATACATACACTCCAATTTTATTTATATGTACAGATGTGTAGATGGGAACTCACAAATGGCAATGCTTTTTGATTGTGAGTGCTTCGGGATAGAGGGAAGCACTTACGCTCCCTTTTTGTAGTTTATTAATGGCCATAATAAAACTGAAATTCGGTTATTGCAAATCGAATAGCGAGGAATATTTTTCAATAATTTTCAAGGATGATAAATTGATGCAATTTAAATACATAGGGTAAGCTCAGGGGATGTTTTCTTGCTCAGTCTTTTTTTAAAGCTAAGTAGGGAAAAGCTCTTCAAAACTCGTTATTATAGACAAAGGCTGCTGATTATGTTATTACTACTTATCACCCGCGACTCCGTCCGCGGGGAGCTTAAATAACCTAATTTATAGCCTATGTGTTCTTCCAGACTATGTTCTACATCTGTGTCAAATTTCACTTGATATACTTTGTAAAAAATATCATTCCATTCATCTAAAGTTTAGCATTTATAATATAAGTAAGGATGCAAGGAAAGGGAAGATATTTTCTTTCTGTGCAGCCTCTCCTCCATCGATTTAAGGTAGGCAACGCATATGCGATTGCGTATGTCGATGGGCAGCGGTCACTTCGCTATTTCAGCGGTTTCGGGTGGCCGCTCGCTCGTTTGCCGCTGGTCAAAGCTAATTGAAACAAAAGAAAGTGAATGCCAACCTTACTAATGAGCAATAAACTCGAACGAATAATCTACTAAAAGCTAAAGATCTTGTATAAATAATAATAATCTTTATTTATTTATACATTGTATATAAAAAAGATATTCATAATAAATAACACAGTTCAAAATGCATCTATTATTCCGGTCCACGATGTTACATGATTTATATTTTTATTTCACTCTTCCATTAGACTTTGTCCTTTGCGAAGAGCCCTCGGGGAATCGTAACAACATTTCAATAGCCCTTGAGGCTTGTGTTGAGTTGACAACAACGTCGTTACAAGGCCGAAGAAAATTCATCCTTGTGAAATAACGCCTTTATATTCATTATATTCTTCATGTAACAAATCTATGATGTAATTAAAGATATTTGTTTTGAGAGTAATTCTATTTATGTGTTTCGACTGTTCTAACATTTGTATTTATTTACTAGGTGTCGCACGCGACTTCGTCAGCGCGGAATTTAAAAAAATAGTAGTCTATAATATGCGTCTTCGATGCCCACATGCATAGACTATCTTCCAGACGAAGTCCCATCGATATCAACTCAGCTGTGTCTGAGATAACACGGAAGAAACACAGGCTTGCGGACAGATAGTACGACATTTTTTGTTACAAATATAAAATATGTAGGTACTAAAATAGGTTTTTTTCGATGTTACAAACAAACACTCCAATTTTATTAATAGTATAGTACCCCTTTAATGATCTTTAAAAGACAGCGACGATATCAATAAAAGTGTTACGGCAGTGGAAATTTGCGGTAAAATTTGGAACTCAATTTAAGACACTGACTGACGTACATTTTATCAAGTTTGTGAATATATATAGTGAACGACTAACACGCTATCACCAATAATAAGAAAAGATTTTTGGATTGCTCTTGAATGCTCGCGTTGTCTGGCAGAGAGGTTATATTGACCCAATTTTATTTGTTATAGCTATTTCAGCAAATTTATTTGTTTTTCTTTGATTTTATCAAGAAAGGAAAAAACAACTCAAAATAAAATAAAAATAAAAAAAGAATACTAAAAATATGTTTTTAATTCATCCCGCTTTGAAAATAATTGTCAAAATACCTTGTTAATACACTTTATGCTTATATTATTTTTAATTATCAACAATTATAAGCTGTTCCTGGTCTGATGAGCTTTGGTCGGATGAGTCTTCGGATATCTTCGCTGCGATCCAATCCTTAAAGGAGTAGACTCGTGTATAGACGTCAGGGTATCCCCTGGCGCACGGCATACCCCAGGACACGATGCCCACCACTTCACCTTCTGATACCAGTGGACCACCGGAATCACCCTGTTAACAAAGTAATTTACTTCCAGTTATATACGAAGAAAAATCGCCAAAAAATTCAAATCTTACTAATATTATAAATGCGAATGTTTAGTTTAGATGGATGGATGATTGTTAGAAGGTATCTCCAGAACGGCTGAACGGATCTTGATGAAATTTAGCGTACATATAAAACATAGTCTAAAAGAAGATGTAGGCTACTACTTAAGTTTTTTGTTACTTCCGCGGGGACGGAGTCGCGGGCGACAACTAGCAATTTCATATTTAACACATACGTGGCAGGCTCCTTCTCCTTTCTTTGTTAAAGAACAAATCTGTGTGTCGTACACCGGATTTATATTATTATATATTCTTTGACATTCCTCCACGCTCAGTGATACCAGATTGATCATTTGCAGCTGAACTGGTAACACACCTGGATACTGAAAACACAAAGACAATAGAATAAAATATACAAAAGAGTGTGTCTACAAAGGTAGACGAAGACAAAAGAAAGTATGGATAGATTGTGTGAAAGAGGATATTCGTAAGAGGGTGAATTCAGATATGACGGCTGATAGAGATGTATGGAGGAGTAGTACATACCGACCCTAGTAGGGATAAGGACAGGTTGAACAATGAGTATGGAAACACCAAGAAAGTACTTCGATAACATGAAGGTTAAAGAAAAGGAGGATGTATATTTCACACCTCCAATATGGCTGTCTTTTGTCAGGATCTAACCAACCAGATTTTTCCCAGTTTATCATAAGAATTATATCTAATGTTCTTATAGTTAGTTTATCTCAATACTTACGGATAATCTTCCCCATCCACTGAGCAGTAATTCAGAGCCAGCACTCGTATCCTTATCAGCAAGGTGTATTGGTTGCACACGGTCTCCGAATTCGATGTCATTTAATACTTTAACAACACTAACGTCGTTGTATATCAGATTACCATTATACTGCTCATGAATAATTATCTTGTCAACGGTATAACGATCACCGCCAGCGAGTAGACTGTTTGTACCAACTACTACTATCATTGTACGATTGGTTTTACTGTAATAATCAAAATTATGAGAAAAGTATCAAACTATTTAAAGGTACGCGTCCATTGGCACGGCAGACGCGTGCACGGTAAAAGTATTTGATTTGTCTTTGATGGTAAGCAGAGATAATAGACGCAGCGCTATGTAAAATCATACAAAGCAACCAAAAATCCGTTGCGGTTTGTCCGCGGTGTGTCTGGATCGAGGCAATGGACGCGTACCTTAAGACTAGCATTTTCTAAAATCCAAAAATGCGTAAATCTTAATTCAAAAGGTTAGTGTAAAACTGGGCAGAAGCAAATAGAAAGAACACTAATAGTTAAAAAAGGAAATTCCGATAAAACATCATAAGGATCCAGAAGTAGCCAACTTAAAAATTTACCAAAAAGAACACTTATCTGGCATAATTTGACAGAGGACGAGGTCCGCCAAAGTTTGAAACAGCTACTGATTTAAACACAAAAACAATTGCTAGGGACTCTACCAGTCTGATGATAAACTGGGTGTATGGACTTACCCGATAGTACAATGAGCGGCTGTGAGTATCCATCGTTGGCTTATGATCGAGCCACCGCAAAAATGTGAATTATAGTTACTTCTTAAAGATGCCTGATAAGGTATACCACTTTCTGGAGCATCCTCACCGCCCACGATTCGCGGATCGGTTTTGAAAAGGTCAAATTCACCAACGGGAAGTATGTAACCTAATAAAATTAAATTAAATATCACAGAAGGGTTTCTCGAACGATAAAATTGGAGAAGATAATTAAGGTTTTTAAACTCTTTTATTTAATGTAGCAGTTGCCCGCGTCTTCGCCCTCGCGATATTAATAAAAATAAATTAAGTAAAAACATATATGTAGCTCATGTCACCCGAGGATAGTGTAAGCTACACTATCCTAACAGCAAAAGATTTTTTAAAAGTTGAGTCCAGTAATTTCGGAGCCTATTTGATGCATACCAACAATTCCACTCTTTATATTATAATGTTAGTATAAAAAAGTCTTGAATCAAAATTGAAACAAAAGTTTAACGCTAAACCTTAATTGCCAAAATGTTACGTTACTTAAAGCTAAGCTTAAACTAAGAGTGATTCAACGAATAGTTTCATCCTAGCCCATAAAATGAACCTTACCTTGAATACCACACGTAAAACATATTAGAAAAAATAAAGTCAATCTAAGCATTTTGATACTAAATTATTATTACTAATATTATTAAATAATTAGTTTAGAAAGGAATTACTCCTAACACAATACCGCCACGGATCGAATGGTTACCCTTTTATAACGTCTCAAATTATAAGTGGCCACTTTAATGTTATTTATCTGTGAGATGACACACTTTGCAGTTTGAATACGTCTTAAAATCACTTCAAAATACAATTAATATTATATCAGAGAAGTTTGCACATTTGTGACAAAATATTTACTTAATAAATACAATTTTACCGGGTCATATACTCGATGTACACTATTTGCCATTTGTATAGTAATAGATTTATCAATATCATAAACTAGCTGTTGCCCGCGACTCCGTCCGCGTGGATATATAAACAAACTTAATTAGTGTAGCCTATGTGTTCTTTCAGACTATGTTTTATACGTATGCCAAATTTAATCGAGATCCGTTCAGCCGTTCTAGAGATATCTTCAAACACCCATCCATCCATCTACATCACATTGTGAAAAAGAAATATTAGTAGCCTTCGACATAGGCCTATGTCGAAGGACAACCTGACACGCAACTGGATGCTGAGCAATAAACTGTACATAAATACTATATGCGTTTAATATAATATACTATTAGAAAATAAGTTGTTAATATTGTAAAAGTATTTTTTATTGTCAGTGAATAAAGGCTTTATTTACGTATCTATATTATATAATTAGTAACCTATCTGTTCTTCCAGGCTATGTTCTATACGTATGCCAAATTTCATCGAAATCCGTCTAGCCGTTCTCAAGATACCTTCGAACAAACAACCACCCAGCCATCTAAACATTCGCATTTATAATATTAGTAAGAATATAATTTTGAGTGGGAAGCTAATTTAATTCTTTGACTGTGCATCATTCATGTGAAATATTATTCAATCGCACGTGCAAATATTGTGATCAGAACACACAACATTGACATAGAAAGCTTAATTAAAAATCATAATCCGGCATCTTATCGCCGCTACTGATATTGAAACAAGACGATTGTCAATTGTCACTTATCTATTATAACATTCAAGTAGCTACTACTAAATACTTATAGCATTGCGTATTTACTTTGTAGTGAGTGTCATCGTAAATCCCCTGAATAATATGTTATTGGGTATTCTCACATATACAGTCTTCATCAACCTGCTCTTATCCCTATCGAGAGTCGGCACAGTATGTACTACTCCTCCATACATCTCTATCAGCCGTCATATCCGAGTCTACCCCCTTCTTACGCATATCCTCTTTCACACAGTCATTCCATACTTTTTTTGGTCTTCCTCTACCCTTGTAGCCATCCACATTCAATCTCATTACTTTTTTGCTTATATCATCATCATCCCTCCTCATGTCCAACCCACGCTAATCTTTTACTCCTCAATTTCACACATATGCAGTCTTCAAATACCCATTTTCTTTCTCCAGATCAATCTAACATTCGCCTTTTTGTTCGACAATTTTCCTTACCACGTCAGTATTCACGCGGTCCATCCATCTCTTAATAACTCTTACCCATACCCGTGTGCCCTTTGCAGTTGCAATTTGTAGTTGACATGCAATTCTCCCCTTTTCATAACATGTCGTGCCTTTTCCTTTTTAATTTTTGTACCAACACAAGAATCAAAATATTAAAGACACAGAGGAAATGTTTGGAATTAGGAAGAACACAAAAATTAAAATTACGTAGAGTTGATTTACTTTTTTTGACGAACATAGCGATTCCATTTTTAAAAATAAACACAAATCTAACGCATGAAAATACGATGCAAATGATTATGTTTTTAAAACATGTACTTTTTACCCCAACGAGGTACTAACATTTAGAAAAAAGCTGTCTGGCTGGTAGGATTTAGTTGAATTTACTTAGGGCTGCCACTTTTCATGGTTAAGTGATGCATCGAACTACGGGACATCGATGTCTTTAGGTCAATGGGTGGTGAGAAATAAGTCACTTATTCATTTTTTCGTCGTCTAAGTATCAAGGCTTGTCGGCATTTTTTTTTGCAGCCAGTGTTTAGTTTTACATTTATTAAAAGTTGGCAGCCCTAAAATTTTAACCAGACTTTGTATTCTCAAATACTTGAATATAAAATGTAACGAAAATATCATCTTAAAGCCCAATCGTCTAGAAAATGTGTGGGATCGAATTGGAACTAACAACGCTTTTAAGTCAACGACCGATCATTTATAGAGCAATATACATATAGCATCTTCGTCTAATACATTCTAGGTACCCGACTTTACTTGGATTTCATAATTTTATTTAGTTTTAATTAGAAATTACATAACTTTTTGGCATCGGTGATATGATGAGCTGTGGCGAGGCAACTTTTGTTATGAGTAATATCCGGAACGACAGGACCGATTTTGACGGGACTTGGATGGGGGAAGGCTGATATACGAGGGCATATCATAGGCTACTTGTATTGAATTCAGCCATAACAAATTCGCGGGCAACCGTTTTAAAATAAAATGTAGTTTTAGTTTAAAGTTTTCAATGTCAAAAGACATGTAAAAACATATCTGCTCTTATTGTTTTTTTTTTAATGAATCAGAGGGTTTACTGACCAACGGTCACTTTATTTTATATCTTATTACTAACTCTGTAACACTTAGATCAATTCAGAGTTTAGTGCAATTTAGTCTAGACTAAACGTATTAAAGCCAGCACTAACATGCTATAACGTGACACATATTTAACCGCTGAAACACAATTGTATCTACATTTCAACCTTATTGAATTTGTTAAAATGTAATGAAGTAAATCTTAAACAATCATGTCCAGAATTCATTGGAATACATTTAGCTTACTGAAACCTACACTCAATCTTTTAAAAACATCCCTAGATCCCAGTCGTATAAAGATGTACATTACGTTGGGACTTTATTATTAAGGGTCGCCTGATGCAGTTATCATATTTTATTAGATATTCCAGACTATGTTCTTCATCTATGCCAAATTTCAGTGAGATTCATGCAGCCGTTCATGGAGATACCTTCAAACAAACATTCGCATTTATAATATTAGTATGTTTGTATAATTTAAGGTTTGATGTTGTTACAGTTATTTCACAATATCTACTCTTTAGCTTTACTTACATAGCGTCTAGAGATTTTTAATCTTTGGGCTCGTGCCAAATTTAGCGTCAATATTGGTACTTCTTGGCAATGTGACCAGATTCAGCAGACTTCTCTAAGACTTAAGCAGAGTTCCGCGCGGTATCATACCATGGCAATTATAAAATCATCATCATGACAATAATTGATTTTTGATTACGCTTACTATTTGTAACAGTGATATTTTCTAAACTATTAGTCAGATTTACATACTGTTAAAGGTAACATTAATCAACATTAAGTTTTCTTGACAACAACAGATTTGGACATTGGTTAATGATAGTATTAAGACCGTAAAAAATCCTTTAGCTTAAAAATTTTTATGTGTTTAAAATTACATTTCAGCATAGCTATACATTTAAGCGAGGTTCTAACAGAATTGTCATCTAAAATCTGGTCATTTTTCTTCTAGGCAAAAAACAGTTTCACACTGTAAACACTTAAATCTAAAAATCTTATCTGATAAGAAATGACATAAGATGTCATTTGAATGTTGCTCAAAAATATTATTGAATCAAATAAAACATTAGAAAGTAACAAAATCTAAATAAATTATTAATAATGGTATCTGGAATTGTATCTGGCAGATTAGCCTTAGTAACAGGTATAAACAACATATAACTGTTCATTTAAAGTTTACAGAGTTTATAAAGTTTTAAATAAGTTTGGACTTTGATATCTAGTAATAAAACAATAAATATACACCAATTGCTTTTGAGTCAGTAACAATCGTAAAATGTTTTTGAAATTCGTATTAAAATGCGATCATAATTTTTTTTTAATAAATGAATAGGTGCAGGGTCCGGTATAGGCAGAGCAGCCTGTCAAGTTCTATCTCGTGAAGGAGCCACTGTTATAGCAGCCGATAAGGACTATGAAGCCGCAGTGGAAACTATAAAGAAACACATTGCCTTAGCTTCAGGATCAAATTGTATCTACTATTTTTATTGTTTTTTTTATCTACAACAAAACTTTTAGCATTGAAAAATATTGATAAAGACACTACAGAGAGTATTATTTTGTCGAATAAAGTAGTATTAACAATATTGTTGCTTTAAACATGTTGTTCAAATTAACATTTACAAATGTTAGTTTAAGTTTGTCTTTTGAACAAACATTCTCTGAATGCTAAATTTTATATTAATAAATACTTTACAGCAGTAGGTGATCATAGTGCCATAGAATTGGATGTGTCAAGTTCAAAATCTGTATCTGAACTTCTTAGCAAATTACAGCGACAATATAAAGCTCCTCCAACTATTATAATTAACTCAGCGGGTATTACAAAAGATAATTGGATGCTGAAACTATCTGAAGAGGACTTTGATAGTGTACAAGATGTTAATTTAAAGGTAATGTACAGTCGGGACCTTGTGCAGTGTTCCACTTACTCAAAAATTTAAAAATTGTGTTCTATTGGTTATTGTTAGTTAAGTTCAGTATCTTGATTATGGCTCTACCTTAGTGGATTGGTGGTTAATGTTACTGTGTTGCCAGTTCAATGTATACTATTCAAACAACTGTCACTTTTAAGATTGAATACCACCATATGACCCCATAGTACCTATATAATTTTGAAAATTTTATGATTTTCAATTATATTCTATAGGTTCTAAGACTGATTTTGCATTTTAATGTATTATAAGTCATTTTTAATTCCAGGGCACATTTCTAATCATGCAAACATTTGCTAAAGCACTGACAGAGGCTTCTCTCCCGGGATCTATTGTAAATATTTCTAGTATTGTTGCTAAATATGGAAACGTAGGTAGGTTGCACTAACTAAATCTTTTACAGTTTAAATATATTTGTTAACCGCTATATATTTTCTAGCACATAGATCATATATAGTAAACATGACTTTTTCTGTCTGTATTTTTTATTTAATTTTTTTAGGACAAACTAACTATACAGCTAGCAAAGCGGGTGTAATTGGAATGACTAAATCTGCTGCTAAAGAGCTAGGAAAATTTAATATAAGGTAATTAGAATATAAAATTACTATCAGTAACTTTGTAATACACAAAAATAACCAAGAAATATCTTCAAACCTGGATAAGCAAGAATCCAAGGGACTGTGATATTTTACTTTATTATAGAGGTTTCTAACTTACCCAAGTTCCTTATTTGTCCGTCGGGACCTGACAGTGACATGCTTATCTACTGCATCTGTATTATAATTGTTATTTATTTATTTTCAGAGTAAATGCAATTTTACCGGGTTTCATAGACACACCAATGGTTGGTACAATTCCTGACAAAGTTAAGGAGAATTTTCTCAAAATGATACCATTAGGAAGATTAGGAGATCCTATTGGTAAGTATTTGTAGCTAACACAACTATTATATTAGTAATTAGCTAGGCTTAGCATGTTAACTTAGAGCACGGAAAGTGTAGTTTGGTATTTTATCTTCCTGTCTTTTTGCTTACATACAGTTGGCATAGTATGCGCACTACTCTTGCATACATCTCTATCAGCCTTTATATGAATACACACCCTTCATACACATTCCCTTTCACATGATCTATGCATTCTTACTATTACCTATTCATATATTAACAGTAGTGCTTGCAACAATGTCTGTTGCAAGAATGAGTCGGCTTGCCTGGTGCAATACCACGACCACACACAAGACAGCCATAGAAGTAATCCCCCCGTCTGAAGAGTGTGAATATTCGGTCTCTCTTGTAATCAAATTCAATCTCATTAGTGTTTTATTTTTAATAAATAATATTTTAACTCCATTTCCAGAAATAGCAGAAGTAATAACATTCCTTTCCTCCGATAAGAGTTCGTTTGTCACAGGCGCAACTATCGATGTTACAGGAGGATTTTAATCTACATTTTTGATTTTTTAAGTTTTTTTTATTTTTTATGTAGAGAAATGTTGTGTGGTTGGGTTTAATTTTTCTTTTATATTTTTGTATACATTGGGTAAACTTGGTGCTTAATTATTATAAACTAGTCCTAAGAGTACAGTGGAACGTTTACAATGAATCCTGTGATATATAAAAAAATAAGAACATAAAAATGTCTTCATTTTAGATCTATGTCAATACAATAATAAAATTGTTAGATATATATCTGTTTGAAACTTCAAAACTTTTGCAAAAATATTTGAATTTATAATTGAAGAATATTTTGTTACTGCAATTTACAAATGTTCTAGAACTTTTTATATAAATATATAATACAACTAATAAATAAGGTTATAGCGTTATATTTTTATTTATATACAATCCTATTTTTATTTTATTTACAAAACTTATCACCAGCATTATTACGTTAAAATTCTCTCTTGAGTATACTTTCACAAATGTATTTAAATAATAAAACATATCTAATTTCAAAAACTTTATTTCAGGTACGAGATTTCTTACCTTTTAGTTTATTATTTTTTAATTCAGATTTATTCTTTTGCCGCTTATCTCTCATAAATGTTCTATATTCAGATTTCCTCTTATCTTCTATTATCTCCTTGTATTTCTTCTTGTTGTACTTCTGGAACTCTGCATCTGCTAATAATTCTTCAACCATAGTTCTTTTTCTTTGTTTTCTAGTCATACGCTCATTGACATGGTCTAAAGCAGAATTTTCAATTCTGCCAACCTGAAATATATCATACAAGTTTGATATTTAACATTATAAAAAAATATTTATTTATTTTAATTGGTACACAAAACAGCTTAACACCATTTACATATTCAAAAATTAATGAAGTATAATAATATTAAGAATCTAGGTTATAAGCCAAAGTAAATGTACACAACATGATTATACAAATGTAAAAAGAATGAAAAGAGCAGATTAAACACTTAAAAATTAATTATGTATACTTAAATTTAAACTGTTACAATTATGGGGGTTAATAAAAAACATGAAAATGAAGGAATGAGGAAAACTAGACATTGTTACTGCAGTATTTTTGAGACAGCATTTCTGAAGACCGCATATTTAGGATTGAAGATGTCTAGATTGTTCGATGTACTATTATATCGACGTCTCATTCTAATATACCACAGTATTTTACATAAAATACTTTTTGGTCACAATAAATGAATTTAACTTGTTTCAAATTAAGAACTAATTACTAAGCAAAATGTACACTGGTACTGCAAAGCCATTGTAAGAGAAAATTTTAAAAAGCTGATTTTTTTTTTATGTTATCATTTATTTTTAAAATTAAAAAAAAAACAGTTAAAAGCTGTAATTAAATATTCTTGCCTTATATATCATCAAATCAATATACATCCCCACTGAGGGGTTTGGAGCCTACCCTATGTTAAGGATGATTACGGCATTGTCAACCACTTTAACTCAGTTATCATTTTCACTTAGATATGTGCTGGATGCATCAGAATGTTTCCTTCATGGTAAGAATGTCAGATATTCTTACATACTATTTAGTAACAGTTACGTCGACTTACCTGGAAATATTTTGGAAGCACTTCCATATCATTTTTCTTGTAAAAGTGTTTTGGATCCATGACAGACCTCATTTTGAGAACTTGCAAGTCATTCTTTAAGTCTTCATTAATCTCTGGTGCTTTCATGTCGAACCATCCTGGTCCCTTTGTTTTTTCTCGTTGTTTCTGAAAAATAACAAAAAATAATAGGTTTAATTCATAAATTCCTCTTTAAGTACATACTTATGCCTTCATCATGTTTATTTAAAAGTATTAAGGCACTTACCTTTCTCTGTGCTCTCAATCTCTTGTCACTAGCATCATATCTTGGCAAACGGTGAGCCTTCTCAATTCCTGGCTGCAGTACAGATTTCTGCATTTCTTTATCAACATCTACAGATCCTAGATTGGATTTTAGTTTGCCAGTTTCAATGTCTAATTGATCGAAATGAAATTTCTTATTTCTTTTCTCTTTTTGCATAATTATGGATTTTTTCCATCCTATTTCGTTAAAGAATTCTTCAAATACATTGTCTATTTTAAGGCCTTTCAACTTATTTTGTACTTCTTCTTCCTCTGTTTCTAGCTTATCTAATTCTTCACGTTTCTTTTCAAACAAATTAAGTATATCTTCAATTCTATTCTCTGTGTCTGTAAATGCAAAAGAATTTGTTTTAATCAAGATGTAAAAGTTGAACAAAACTGTACTTTTAATGTATTACTAAAGGTATAAAAATAATATAATTTAGCGATCTAAATAAAACAGAAATGCGAGTGTCAAGATTGATGTTTATGATAACAAACAGGAGTCTCGTGATATTTAAAGGAAGGACTACTCTAATGAGGCATGATACATCGATTTAGAAGAAATAATCCTGTTGTGCTAACCACGAGTAGATTGGGATAGACGGCTACGAGAAAATTTACGTAAAAAGTAATCATATACTAACCTACAAAAAGTTTATCTTCTTCCTTTAATAGTTCTGTTTTAACTTGGAGATCAACATCACCAACCGTGTCAATAATGAAGTCCATCTTAATGTATAATTCATTAACTCCACTATGCAACTAAACTAAAACATGATTATCAACCACCATGTGCGCCAAAACAGTTTTATTTGTGATAACAAAAATCACTTGACAGCTGACAGTTAGTTGTCAGGTGCTAACGCAAATGTCAAAGCCAATCCAATTCCTTATTGCCAGCCTTTGCAATTTTCACATTCATGAGAAAAAGTAAGAAATTACAAAGTTGTAGCTATGAGACAAAATCTACTCCAAATTGTATGTTCAGGCACTATCAGCGGCTAATAATTTAGGCCACATTTAGAGCAAGGACGCACTGCAAAAGTTCTAACTTAAATGATGTCGAAAACCTTGTAATTGCTCAAGTATCAATTTTGTTAATCTAAAGTATCAGTTTTGCAAAGATTTCTTTGTTAAAAAAATCACTACTTTAAATAATAAAATTTATAAATGTATATATCAATACGAAATTAGAACATAATTGTACTACATACTACTAATATGTAATGAAAGTATGTTTTATTTTCCCTATCCCGCATAATACACTCCTTACTTAAGATAGGATTTTTGGTTGGCTCCCTTTGTTTGTCTAAAACATGTTTTACTGGAATTATTATATGGCTAAATCTGTATAGAAATTTGCCCATTAACATTTATTTCCACTTGATTAGTGGACATTTCCTTCTAAGCATGCATTTGCCAAGCTTTTTTAAAACATTTATATTTTGCTCCTAAAAATCATGCAATAGTAATAATTGTGTTTAAAATAAAACTTAGAGTAAATGAATAAAAATATTTAATCTTATAAATATGTCTTACAAGTAATAATTGTCAGAATCGTTGATGACAAGACTGCAAACATTTTTCTTTGTTATATTTATTAACAAAACATGTCCCATAAATATTTCTAAAATTGCTCCATAAAGTTATATTCAAGATTAACAAATCAACAAAGTTTTACAGATCTTGTTATTAATTACAAAACATACAATTAGTCAAGAACTAGTTATGTAAAATCAATTGGTTTGAATAAAATCCACAATTTTTCAAAAGCAACTTGGTATTGTTGTACTAAATCTTTCTGTGAAGTCACTGTAACATCTTCCCAGTTGCCAGACAAAGCTTGATTAGTCCAATTTAAAGATCCTGCCATTACATAAGGTGTGACAAATTCATCATCAGCCAGTGTATCAATAAGACAGAACTTATGATGCATTAAATTAGTAGACTTCAACCACCGCACTGGAACACCATGCTTTTCCAATTTTCTCGCACAAGACCCTGTACAATATGCCATGTCGGCATCTATTATCAAGCGAATTTTAATACCTCGATAATGCAACTTCATCAATATATTACTCACATCTGTATTTGTTATAATATACATGCAAATGTCAATATTATGTCGAGGTCCATTTAAATAATACAACAAACGCTCCATACTCGGAGTAACAACGCAACGTGAGTATTTGCTCTTTTTAAGATCATGCGCTCCATAAGAGAATGTTATAACTTCGTTTATTTCTTTTTTATGTAATTTCACTTGCTTTTTTCTTCTTTGATAAAAGTTGTAAATAAGTTTTGAAGCGAATGTCACTGAGGCTATACCCAAAAGAGTTCTAAGGATGACTTTGTAAGCCATGGTATAGTGTAAAAATATCGGAAATGAACAAAACTTATAAATTCCACTGGTCAGAATTTTCAAAATGTGAAGTTTATGCGGGCTATCAAACTGTCAATGTCACATGGAGTTATGGCAATGGCGGAATGTCATTTTATATTTTTAATCACAAAAAGCAATGGCTATAAAAGTATAAGGACATCTATAAGATTTTCAGTTAATGTAAGCCACTTTTTAATAATAATTGAGTCTAATGTTTTATCACAAAGAACTTTTATTACTGGAATTTTTATAATTATTTAGATTTATTTACATATAAAGATGTTATAAAATTTTACATCAAAAGAACGAGCCCTCGAATTAATTGGCCTAATCAAACATTAAGAAAATCCCGATCTTATATGGGTCAGACAACTTACCGAACTTTCTAATTAATTATCCACCGTTAGTGTAAATTAGAGAACGATAAATAAATTATTAACAGTTACTTCTTGGTCATCGATAAAGTTATCAAATATCCATCGTAAAAGATGAAAAATCACTATTATAATATGAATTTAAACGTGGGTCATAAAGAGTTATGCATCTTTTCTTACAACGTTATATTATTAATTGTAAAATCGTGCGGTCGTAATCTTAAATTTAAATTGTATGAACTATGATGAGACGGTTGCAATGGATTGCTGTAACTTCCTATCAAAGCGCAAGACCCATAACTATTTTCTGTTGATCCACCATAATTTGAAACATTTTGTGACATTAATGTATTAGAATTTGGTATATACTGTCGATTTCCGACGTTTTGCATCATTAATGAATAATCGTTTTGGTATAAACCGGTATTTGTTAAAGGAATACCAAGATTAAAGTTTAAATTATTCGTTTGAAAATGGTGAAGCCATGGTTCTTTAGCGTTTCTTGTATAGTCTTGCCTAGGGTCAGTTTGATGCGTAATACCAATTGGCACAGGTATAGGTTCGGGTGAGTTTTGGCTTGTAGAATTTCGATGAGAGGACAAAGCGGACCGTTCATTACGACGAAATTTCGCTCGCCTATTTTGGAACCAAACCTGTAAAGAACAACTAATTTAATTTGTTTCGAAATCGCTCACTACGCTTATCTTTTGAAAGCAAAACCTGACAAATCATTACCTGAACTCTTGCTTCAGTTAGGTTAACACGTGCTGCCAAATCTTCTCTAACAAACGCATCAGGATAATGTGTCTTCTCAAACACTTTTTCTAAAGCGGCCAACTGTTGACTTGTAAAGGTCGTCCTATTTCTTCTTGGCTTCTTTCTTTCGTCAGTTTTCCCGTCCCTTTCTTCTTCAGACTCTTTCTGTGTATCCTTTTCTTTGACAATCTTGCTTTCATCATATTTCCGTCTTACATTTTCATATGAAATGTAATCTACGGGTTTTATATACGGGCGTTGAAGGTCTTTAGAGTACCATGATAGATCGTTTTGATAGTTATTATCGTATGTGCCGTTTTGTCGTCCTGCGGTTAAGTGATGTAGTCTAAGTAGACTGTCTTCGTGGCACTTGATCATTTGGAAGAGATTGTGATTGTTATCTGGATGGTTTCCACCACTCATATTGTAGTTCATTTGCGAGTGTGGTCTAGCGTCGTAAATTTTTGTCGGAATTGTTTGTCTCGTTGCATTGTTGTTTTCTGTAAACAAAATATGTTAAGCTTTATTAAGTAAAGCCTTGTTATATGTTAAGCTAACTTATTTTGTATGTATAATATTATTTCTCAATTATGCAAAAGAAACAGTTGCATATTTTTGAAAAAGATATGTGAAGATAAAAAAGGATTCAGTCCGATAACAATGATTCGTTTGCAGAACATGCAAAATCGCTTCAGTTGGCACTATCTGTGGTTCTTTGTACCTCCGTGGAGTGTGGAGTATGGACCACAGAGTGTGCCGACAGTGCAGCCCTATCAATTACACGACACGTGCGAACGTTTACTTACGCGCCTCTGATTTCTGAATGTGCCGAACGTATCTTCACCTCAGTGATTAAGCGCGCGAGTTACGTTAAACTATGACTTTCTTAATTTTGATATTCAAAAGTGACTTCGGATAGATTTTATTAAACTCAATGAAATTGAGAAAAATTCAGACTAGGCATTTGGAAGTCTCTGCTAACTTTTTAATATAATAACGCTGCAAATAGCAGTAGAATAACAACATGGCCTTCGCATCACGTCAAAATGACACAATTACGGATTACTCGCTTGTTTGTTTGCTACAAAAAAGGCGAATAGAAATAAAATCGCGGAAAGAAAAGAATAATCTTATAGACACGAAGACCATACATTTTGCCCTAGGGAAATCTGTCTTTTGTTATTCTGTGATCATGGACTTACTTAATTATTAGGCTTCAGGCTACCTACTAAATTTTAAGCTTACGTCAAATAGTTATTATATTTAATTGAGATAAATCAAATAATCATATAAAAATCGTCTTGATTTATACCCACCTTTACTTTGTTCCATGTTGGTAATTACCATACATATAGCACTGTCACTTTGAATAAATTATTTAATTATTTAAATTCTATATAATTCAGGAAATTCTTTAGTTTCGCGAAAACGCCACATTCAATTTAAATAAAATCTAAAATCCGAACCGGCTTCAATCTCGATGCCAAATAATTGATATTAATTCACAGCCTTATTGAATTACCTAATTAAATAATTCGACTAACTCAGTCTAATGTGCGAACTAATGGACTCAATACACTGATCTGGCTCTGAGTATTCGAAGTTGGGCGCAACACGTGCGTTGTGAATACGAAAAAGTATCCAGTAAACATAAAATGAACACTCCCATTGGAGAAATCTTAACAGAAAAATGGCCTCTACATCGCTCTAAATAAACTTGAAATTAGCTAAGAATCGTCATAGAAAATTTTGTTATTACAATTTCAACTTTAACTAACTACACTATTAAGATTTATTTTTAAAAATAATTTATTCAATGGGTGTTTCGTTCGATTCTCATTCGACACTATTTCGGTAGCCGCAAGGCGTGGCTTACCTTTGCCCGGTATGAAATAAAAAAAAAACAATTTTACCGGGAAACGATTTGGTGAGACAATAATTGACACATCAACGTTTATTATTTATAGTTTAAATGAACATTGATGTCTTTTGTAATTGGTTAAGAAATTTAAAATGTTAAGGAAATATTTCGTGAGGACATCTTAAAACTTTTTTATGCGCCTGGTCATACGTTTTTTTATTTGCTTTTATACAAAGGTAACATTTTAAGGCTAATTTTTTAATTCTAAATAATATTGTTGTGCTGCATTTGCGCGTTTTGCGATAAACTTTACTGTTTCAAATACAAATTAATGAAATACATAAAATATTAATAGAATATAATAATATCGATGACAAATAGTTTAAGACGATATTCTAAATTAATTGAGTGCATAGTTGACGATCTGTTTAATTTGCCAAAATGTCAGATATGATTTAATTAAACAAGCTTCTATTCTTATTGATAGATATTAATATTGTAATAACATGTCGTCTACGTTGATTGCAATCGAGATTTATTATCTTATAACATCGATTGTCATAATATCTATGATTTTCTTTACTAAGGAGGTTATAACAATTTTAAAAAGTTAATGATCTTTTTACTATTTCGAATTATAATAAAAAAACTTAATTTATTAAGTTCCGGTTAAACTTATAGGTAACAGTTAGATTGCACTTGGAAGTAAAAACAAATTTTGAAAACGCTTTTAATTTTTCAACTTTAAATTAAAAATCAACAAACAAAATAATAATTTTACTGTTGTTATGAATAGTGAATTTTCTTATGATTCACTGTAAATAATTTAATAATTTAAAATATTCAAAATATCCGCCTTTTGAAATTGTTACGGGCTGTGCCAAGCTGGGAATAGAAACGGGACGTGTCGCTTCGAATTAGCGTAGAATCATGAAAAACGCCAGCGCCGCGTTCGCCGCCGCTCGCCCCAGCATGCTGTTTAATAATAAACTCAAATAAAATTTAATCACTTCAAAGATAAATTAACGAGTCTAAGCTACAACAGTCTTAAAGAGTAATAACATAAAAAATATTTAGTAATATTTTGAATTTCACGATTATCTATACCTTCTACAATATAAATGTAGGGAGGTACACTAACTTTTTGTTTTTTGCCCAAAAGGGAAAGTACTTTGAAACCCCTGGCTGGTTAAGACCGACTCGGGACTTGTGCGAGAAAAACAATGGACAATCGCCTAGCGTTCGCGATATCGTCCGGATGGTATTTGAGATTTGTGTGCAGGGTTGCTTCGAATTCGTTTCGGGCATCGAAGGAGATTATGTGATAAAAGGAGTTGCATCCGTACACTATTGCTTGGGCCTATTGAGTGGACACCAATCATATTTATGGCATTCACAAGCGGTGAAATGGGCATTGTATGTAACAAGTAGTTTAGGAGACTTGTGCCGCGCGAATCCCGAACCAAATTTTTACAATACTTACAAAATATTTTTTTTAAATTAAAAATAATATAAGAAAAGTTTGTATATATGCAGTTCCGTAATATAAAAAGGGACATAAAAAATTCCTTTCCGTTGAACAGTGTATTTTCAAATACAAACGCACGAAAGTGTCATGGCGGCCATAATTGCATGTGACAGTTGTCGGCGGAGTTGGCGGCGTCAGGCGACGTCTCGTTTGCGGCTGCGCGTAACGAGAATGTACCACTTTTGTCTCGATCTTTTAATAATATAAATAGAGATTAAGTACAAAATGTATTCAGAAATAATGTCTATAAAAATCATTACAATTGATTCCTTTTTCAATTTTCTTTTACTTTTACAGTTTAGTTTAGATAATTTCCCTACTGTCAAACTTTTTAAACATGAAGATCAAGCCCTTTTTCTGATGGTGACGTGCAATTTTTACCCAGAGACTTTTAAATTTAATGTCGTTATTTAAATGTGTTGTTATTAGTATAATAGACTTTACCGATAGTAGAAAAAAACTGCAGGATCAGCTTTCTTCCGATATCAATCCTCATCTACATGACGGCTTCGTGCGTCGTCTTAAAACTTTTTCTATCTAACCGAACTTATTAGTGGCCAAATAAGTAGACTTAAAATAAATAAAAGTTTTTAGTAACTAAGATTCCACTATAAATCATGTAAACAGACATAATTTTGTCAGAGAAATGAAGTTGCGACATATTTTCGCCACGGTGTGGTCTTCGTCGTCCACGGGTTCATCTTAGGGATGTAGGCCCAATAACGCGTGAACATGATCATTTGTCAAAATATCATCCGGTATAGTGACCATGATTTTAAATTAAATACCATGGAATGGAGATACATACTTGTCTTTATAATAAACATTATTCGCAGTAAAAATTGTCCCGGCTCGCCCGGTGAAATACCACGACCACACAGAAGGCAGGCGTCAAGCGGAAGCGATTCCGCGTTTCGTCTGATGATTGCGTCCCGGTGGCCTTATAAGGAAAGGATGGGAAGTGGAAGTGGACTTTCCAGATGAGATGATGCATAGGAAGGGAAAATATGTTGTTTCTGTGCATCCTCTCCTCCGTCGATTAAAGGTAGGCAACGCATATGCAATTGCGTATGTCTATGGGCAGCGGTCGCTTCGGTATTTCAGCGATTTCAGGTAGCCGCTCGCTCGTTTGCCACCTTATGATATATAAAAAAAAGTATTTATTGTTATTGAGCAGCATCAATAGCTTCATTAATAAGCTTACAGACATCCGATCTTGAGGCCATGATATTGTCATGATATAACTTTGTACTTCTTTTGGGTACACATCAAACCGAGGATAAGAGCGGCAGAGTATTGTAAGGAATGGTGTAACATGGTGAGTTACATAATCATAATTACCGTTATTTTAACGTTTTATTATTAGAACATAAAGAATGCGTAGTGTTCCGTATATAGTTTTTAACGTCACTTTATTTAAATCTTAGTTCATATAAAAGTTTACCGTATCAGTCTTTAAAATTTTAAAATGATGGTAAACGCAACTCGGGCGCATTACAATTACCTCAACTCAATACTGCCATCAGTCACGTCGCATTCACGCAACGATGCGCACCAATTACTAATTAAGAGGTTATATTTAACTGAGATTCTACTAAATACTAAAAAATAAGTTCCTCCTGATAAGGTACGTCATTTTAACATGATTCTATTAGGTATTTTAAAGATGAACCTATTGATTTCAATTATGTAGCACAGTTTCCAAGAAAAGACTATTTATAAATTAGATAACATTTTATTATGGAAGGCCTAGGTGGTGGTAACCTATCTTTATATATATAATTCTTCTGTGAGTGTGTATGTCACTGAACTTCTCTCAAACGACTGGACCGATTTTGATGAAATTTTTTGTGTGTCTACAAGGGGATCTGGGAATGGTTTAGATTCACAATTTTCATCAAATATGAACCTCATATTAATTTATTCAAATTAAAGACGTGTAGACAGGACAACGTCTGTCGGGTCCACTAGTATGATATAAAAAAAATCACCTACGCTTATCCTGCTAAATAATAAAACTTCTTGATCCAAATTAAGGAATAGGTTTATATTTAACTAACTGTCGCCGGCGACTTCGTCCGCGCGGGATTAAAACAAAACATATATAATTAGCTTATGTGTTCTTCCAGGCGATCTACATCTATGCAAAATTTCAGCGAGATCTATGCAGCCGTTCTGGAGATATCTTCTAACAAACATTCATACATACAAGCATTTGCATCTATAATATTAGTTAGATTTAAAGTTGCAAAATGTTAATAGAGTTAATGCGCACAAATTAAACCGAACTATAGGATCCTAATGTAAAAGGTAATAACTCAAAATTGCAATTTATCATTTCGTAGGTTTACAGCTCATCGCCAACCACTTTGGTGTTGACATTTGTCCTAAATTGGCGCGCCCCGAGACAAACGAGCCGTGCGAATGCGATAGAGACCGGAAACTGCCACCCGTGCGCAGGCGCCATTAGATGGTAAAAAATAAAAAAACAAAACTATAACAAAAGTACATATATGATACATGCCATTCATATTTAAACTTTTTTTTCTCTTTAAAAATTAAAAAAAAAACTAAACACCTATTCTTGTGAAAAGATGAAAGTAACAGTTTTCGTAGTATCACAAAATAAAAATATCACTGTTTCTGTTTGTTCTTGCCGCGAACTACCGCTAATAAAACTATCACTTTGTCAATACTAATAACCCATAACTATTAATAAGCCTTATCTTTTCAAAATCAGGATCGTAAACTTACAAATTACCAAGATATTTTAATCAGGTATTTCCTCAGGAAATCTATAATTTGTGCTTAAATCTTAATTAAAAACACGCCGTTGAAAATACACAGCTAAAGATTTATTTTTTTACAACAACATAGTTAAAAGTTGACACTTTTTTACGATGCCGTTTTATCGTTTTGTTGACGTTCCTTTAAGTGCATAGATGGCGGCGCCTGAAAAAGATTTTAAAAAGATATCACATTTCTACTTAGCACCGCTGACGTGGCCCTGGGGATGGTCTTTCGATATCATAGGGTCGATAGTGATGTTCTACAAGTTATCGATAAGAACGCCAATGTGGTCTGATCAACTGTCAAAATCCACTATACAAGTTCAAAGTTCACCAAAGGCACAAAAATTAATAGAAAAAATCGATAATTCATTCACTTAAACGTCTTAATTCCCGAACTAAGGTTTTACTGAGTAATTCTTATGTTACTGCATGTATTAGAACAACGCTCCTCGCTTTTTTAATACGAAAATATTATGGAAAAAATTGTAAGAAGTATCGATATTCAGAGCGACATCCTTAGCTTGTCAATTGGAGTTCATCAGTGACGTTGTTTTTTTTTAACTTTTCAAAGTAACTAACGGATTTGGCCACTGACATTTTGTGATCTTTTTTACATACCACAATCACATCGTTAATGCGTCCTTGTCATTTGCACAACAGATAGCTTAAATAGTCTTTATTCTTACCATCGTAATATAATTCTAAAGGCATGGGTATGTATTTCCGAATATCCTGACCTAAATATATGAAAGTCCGGTCACGGTCGGCGGACAAGCCCGCTGACAGTTGTACGCTGTAACCGATACAGCGCCAGCGCCGACACACGGTGGTCGGATCCAACTGACAGTTCGACGAATTCCTCTGTGCGGTATGTTAGCGACAAGAGTTTTATATTTCCAAACGTCAAATATAACAATGATGTCCCCTTTGCAAGCTTTATCCTGTACTAGCTGTCACCCGCGACTCCGTCCGCGCGATATAAAAAGATCTTAATTAGTAGCCTATATGTTTTCCAGACTATGTTCTATATGTATGCCAAATTTTATTGAAAATTTCATGGAACTTTGTTACAAAGCGTACCTTTAGTTACCCGTGTTCAAAATTGCTCATAACACAAGCATTCCGCAAAAACAAACAAAACAAAATCTGTCATCATATATCAAGATCAACATCGATTTCTTAGGCCATGTACACACCGAGTTGATTGCGGTGCGCGCCATTAATTCATTCTTGCAGTTTAAACGTAATAAATCGAATTAAATCGGCTCGCGCCCTCATGATTTCAAAGAGTCGAAATTTGTCCTGACAATATTTATAGCGACAGCCGAGTGCGGCGCATGATTCGTTGAGATCAAAGCGTCTTATGTCTAGTGCGTGTAGTGTACACGCTGCCCAATGTCTGTGGACAGACGTAAAGCTGTGAACACAACGATGAAAATATATATTCACGTGTTTTAAGCCTAAATGCTGCATTTTGAGGCGTTTAATGCTTACGTAGTACAACATTTAGGTTTTAGATATACCCAAATATATAAATTTGTAATTAATGCACATATTTACTAAGCTAACTCATCTAAATCCACCCTAAAATTTACTTAATACCCAAGAAGTAATTAGCATTATTTAAATGAAGTTGATTTAGCAATGTTAACAAAAATAACCGCAAATTTATGAAAATAACATATCTATTAAAAAAGAGCACTTTTTCTGTTACATTTTTTGTCCACCACTTAAGTCTTGCGCATGGTATCCCCAAATCAAAAGTCCCGGCGTCACATGTTCGCGAGAGAACATGGAGGTCGCATTGCTCCTCGGGGAGTCCTTAAAAAACCCGACTTGTATGTTTTGTAAATAATATTTTATTAGTATCCCACTATAGCTTCTGAACGAAAGCAGACCGCAAAACAGAAGCTGTTGTAGTTTATTTTGGTTGCAAAAAAACTCTTTTTTTTATTTCAAAGTTACAAACTTTGTTTAAGATTTTAAATATTTAAAATTATACATAAATAACGAAAATAAATGATGTCGCAGTCTTGAAAGAATAATATAAAGTTTGAAGAAATTTATCCTTTTATGTCTTTACCTTTACTAATAATACAAATAATTAAACGGGTTGTCGTTCGCGACTTCGTCCACGCGAAATTATAAAAAAATTATAAGTAGCCTATGTGTTCTTCTAGAATATATTCCACACTGTGCCAAATTTCATCAAGAACCGTTCGTCCATCCGTCTAAACATTCGCATTTATAATATTAGTAAGAAGTAAGATATTAGTAAGACAGCAGTCACTAATTTTCTTTCTTAAAATCGGAAAGGTATCCTCAACTATGGTTTGAGAATTATACAGCGATTTAAATAAAATAATTATATTTAAATAAAATAATATCTTATTGTTTAGTTCCAAGCTCCCCCGCAGTTGTAATGTCTGTTAATACGTAACCAGTCCTTGTCCGTGATATACACACGCTGACCCATCACACCTTCGTGTTCCTGAAGCAATACAACGATATTTAACTTTTATGCCTATAAAGCTCCCGCTTAAAGTGCAAGATTTATGTAAAAAAGTGAAATGAAATCGATTTGAAAGTTGTGCCAACGTATAGAGACATAAGGGCAAGGAGACAAAGAAGACAAAGATGGTTAAACAGTCCTAACTGTTTGGTTTTTTTGGCAGTAAATTGCAAATAACTATTCTTTGATAGCTAAGGTACCACATTCTTCTTTCTTATTACTTCTTTTTGTTTATCATATCCTCACTTAAACAGACATCTTCAATGTATTTATAACTCTTAAAACAAGAAATCAATAAACTTGTTATAATACATACCCTTAATGGAATAATGGTATCTTCGCCATTGGCACTGAAAGCACGCGGACCGTAATGCAGGCAGCTTACATAGTCGTATTCAATGCCTAAGTTGTTCACCAGCTCTGTTGTATAGATATCGAAGTTGTGCTCCATTCCTAGTTATAAAAAAATAATTTTACACACTTATCAGATGATTGTAAAGTAAATTAAATATAAATACGATAGTTTTATATCATCATAGTAGGTTCCTAATTACGAAACATCTCACTTGTGCTTTTTATTCTTGAAAAAATAAAGATGCTTTCTTTAGGTTTTTAGTGGTGGTAATTCAAAGCAAAGCAGATATCGAGTTAACCCTTTCATAGCGAGTTGTGGTCAAAAATGCCCCAATGCACAAAGACTAAATAGCAAAAGTGTGAAACAGACACGCCTTAAAACAGATCTATTTATTTTTTGATGATCTTACCAGCAATAATATTCTCGGTAGCGATATGTACATAATCATCTCTGTCGTGTGTGGACTGCATGTGGAAGAAGCCAATGATATGCATAAACTCGTGGACGATGGTGCCGTGCCTGAAGCAGCCGACGCCGGGCGTGTTGAGTGCGAGGTTCATGGTGTGTACACCACGCTCCTCCCAGTAGCCGACATGCGCGTAGCAACCGTTGGGGAGACCCTGGGTATACAGAAATATTTTGAAATGTTTTCTCTTTTTTAGCCGACTTCAAAAAGAAGGAGGTTATCAATTCGTCTGTATGTCCTTTTTATGTGTTACGTTACCACGTAACTCCGCCCCTGGTGCTCCGATTTTGAAATTTTTTTTTTTCATCGAAAGGTTTAGCTTTCAGGTAGGTCCCATTTTTATTAATCTTTAAACTGACTAGAAGTTTAGTAGATTTTAAATTTAAGTTGAAAATGGTTGACGAAAATTTAGGAAGTTTTTTAACACAAAATACGTCGAAGGGTGGGACGTCCCTTCCCATCCTTTCCTTATAAGAATAAGGTGGGAAGGGACATAAGTCTAAATAAGACTTTCGGCTTTATTTAAATAATTTACTAACGGTTAGGGAGACATAGTTGGTGTCCTCCGGCTGGCGGTAGCGGAATTTAATGCAGGTGCTGTTCTCAATGTGTTTGATACCATCCTGAATTGCTGCTTTGTGGATGTCATCTGTTTATAATAAAGCAAAATTATTATGACGATAATAATGTAGGAGCATACAATTACAAGAGCGTCGGTGGCTCAGGAGTCAAGCACTTGACTTGCAATCTGTAGGTCCTGGGTTCGAATCCCGCCATGTACCAATGTGTTTTTCGATTTCCAATTTACATATGTACATTTACCCGACGTTCTTACGATGAAGGAAAACATTGTGATGCAACCTGCACATATCTGAGAAGATATTCAAAGATATATGTGAAGTCAACAAACCCGCACTTGGACAGCGTGGTTGACTATGGCCTAATCATCCTTAACTTAGGGTAGTCTCCGAGCCCCTCGGTGGGGACATATAGTTGCTGCTGATGATATAATAACAATTATGTTAGGTGTTAAAAAGTATTGGTGCATTTCTGAACAGAAAACTAAGGAACTGTCTAATTATTGTATATCGAAATTATAATGGTAAGTATATTTTATATGTTATAGAAATAGTTATTTTTAGTCCAATATAATTTTTCTCGGCAGCCATTATCTAGAGCACCAAATGTCAATGGAAATACCAAATGATAAAAACTAGATTATCCTTGACAGATTTATTCATCTATCATTTTAAATTATTTAATCTGTTTATTTATCTGTGATTTAAAAACGATTATCCTAATTATTATGATAAACGAATTTTGTAACCGCTTTTACTAAATTGATTACTTACTATGCAATCAAATCAAATTTATAATCATAAAACCAATTTACTTGATAAAACACTTTTGTTCGTGATGGTACATTTATATTTGTTCTCAGTAGTAAAAGTACGTACAGTGCAGTACAGTGTTAAATCAGTTACGTTTAGTATTTTCGTATTTTTCAAACTGTTCTAATAATAATAATAATAAATAAAGCCTCTTGCTACATCTTAAGTGTGAATTAGTACAGTTTGTTTTGTGGTAAAAAAAAATTGCAAAAAAATCCCAATCGATTTTTGGCAGTTTTCTCTGAATCTTCAAGAAAGAAGTAAGTTTTGAAGTTATTAACACATTCATCGGTTGGTAACAATTAGGTTGGTCGCACAATATTAGAGCGTGGCGATAATATAAACAAAATTTTTCGCTCCCGCTCGTTTTGTGCGCGTCTATGCACGTCGCTGTAATGTGCTATACTTTGATATACTTGATTACGTCGCCCCGCTCCTCTTGTCGCGCCGCCCCTAACATTGCATATTACGTGCATGTAGCTTTATTTCAGCATAACTCACCAAACTGATCTTCCGCGTACTCCCAAACGACAGTATTCTCCGGCCACTTGGTACCAGGGTAGACATAGGCGTTCCTGCCCATTGCATATTCCTTCACCATAGACTCGATGGTGACGTCATCTAGGACGATGTCCCCCTGGTACTTGCCGCTGTTCTCTTCTGCATTGTCGGATGGCGATGCCTGACTCCTTGCGATGAACTGGCTTGCATCATCTGAAGAAAATAGCCGTGAATATTAATTAAAATGATGTTATAAAACAAAAGCAATGCTACAAATATGACAGACAACCGGCTCGCTGGTTTAATTAAAAATATTTTGGTTTAGAATTTTTGTTGAGCTATATTGTCATTTATAGATATACTACTAAATAGTATTTTCTTACTTATATTGTAATTGCGAAAGTTTAGATGGATGGAAGTTTGTCAGAAGGTATGTCCAAAACGGCTCAACGGATCTTGATGAAATTTGGCATGGACGTAGGACATAATCTGGCAGAACCAGGCTACTAATTATGATTTTTTTTAATACGGCGTGGACAGAGTCGTGGGCGAAAGCTAGTAATATATTGAATCATTTTCAAAATCATTGCATTTATAGTACAAGTACTAATAAGAATGTGAATCTGCACTTGTATATCTCGACAACAAAAGAAGATAAACGTTATTTTTGAGTGTCCTCTATTTGTAAAGGTAGGCAACGCATCTGTAACAATTTAACTTCTTGTACATGTCTAGCGGCTGTCACTTCTTTGGCAAAATCAGGCGACCGCTTACTCGTATACAGTTATTAATACATTCTTACCTGACTTGGTGCTTTCGAGGAAGTCTCTGAAGGCTTGTACTTCTTCGTCAGTCCTCACCAACACCGGGGAAGAGGCCGCCAGTCCGATAACGCACAACACAACAACGGCCCTCAACATTTTGACGATTTTGCGTTTTGTATCAAAACGACCATATTTATATAATTGCTGAAGGATTTATCAACATTGATAAATGATTAAAGTGTTTATTACCATTATGGTATAGTTTGTTCTGTGTGTCAGTCTGTTTATAATACGTATTTATTTGTTGAATTATTTTTTATCATAGACTTTGATTTTTTAATTGTAATACATTATTTATAGTAGAAAGTTGTTTTTATACTTGATTATATTTAAATTCGCATTTCCAAACCAATACGACTTAGGGACCTTCAAGAAGCAAGCGTACCATTTCCTTAAAGGCCGGCAACGCATCTACAGTTCCTCTGGTGATGCAGATGTCCATGGGTGTCGTTGATCACCTTGGTGTTCCCGCCCCTCGTTTGCCCCTTCTCGTATGAAAAAATTCGCATGTTATCGTATTTAATAATGATAAGGTTTTCCTGTAAATAACAGTAGTCAGCACACAATTGTAGTTCTGACCATTTGTAAATTTCAATTTACAGTAATAAAACATGCACTTTAAATAAACCACTATACGTTATTTAAGTACTTATACATAAGATTTCGTTATTAACAAATGAAATTATTAAACAGTTGGTTCCTTTTTAAGATAGAGTTGGCTTTCACTGTCGAAATATGTATGTTTTTTTTAACTAAAGGAAGATTTTTAGGCTTCCGTATCTAGAAAGGAAAAAACTTTATAGGATCAGTTTGTTGTCCGTCCGTCTGTATGTCAAGAGCCGTTTTGTGCCATCAAAATACCTCGTGTGCAATGTTTTAGTTTGTGCCAAAGATTTACTTAATCTGTTAAAATATAACAAAAGAAAACGAGTTTATTAAAAATAATTTATTTATATTGCCTTATTAGTCGTATATTTTGGAATAAATTATTCATCGTAGGGAACCTCTTGACCTTCTTCGACAAAGATAACTTTCTGTTCGTCTACTTCAGAATTCATGTCTTTGGACCATCCTCCGGGGCAGTTGTAATGTCTTCTCGTCCGGTGCCAATCGTATTCAGTCACGTATACCTGCTGACCCATTTCACCTTCGAAACTCTAAAATCATTCAAAAATTAAATCATATAATAATAAAATGAGAGGCAATAGTCCTTAGTCTTTCTGTGCGACTTGAGATCTTTAAATATGGATAGAGAGAAGTACACCGATCAGAGGCTTAGAAATACCATTAAAATGACAAATAATATCATTCTGGGAGACGAAAAGCTAATTTCCAATGAGTGGGACAAAGACAGGGAGATTATAAAAGAGAAAATCTTGAATACTTACACGTATTGGTACGATTGTCGGCTCGCCATTTGTGCTAAATCCGTAAGGGCCGTAATGCATACAACTAGTGTATTCGTAAGGCAAGCCCATATTGTGCACAATATTGGTATCATAATGTTCGAAATTGTGTTCCATACCTGGTAAATTACATTAATAAGTTATGCAGCTGTAATACACTAAAATAGTCATAACCTAAAACATCGTAATAGCGACATAACACAAAAGACTTTACGGTTACAATATTTAATCAATCTATGGTGTATACTTTAGGCATTTATTACACAGTTTAGAAAATCATTCTTTTATGTCCTTACGACTTAATCTTTGAAGAAACCGTATTCTATATAGATTAGGCCTGGGGAAGTCCCATTACCAGATTTTTTATCGATATTAAATTCATCAACAGATCACTATACGTCCCCACCGAGATGCTCGGAGCCTACCCTAAGTCACGGGTGACTAGACCATGGTCAACCAAGCTAGCCCAGTGCGGGTTGGTTGACATCATACATATCTTTGAATTACTTCTCAGATATGTGCAGGTTGCATCACGATGATTTTCCTTCACCGTAAGAACGTCAAATAAATGTACATATGTAAATCAGAAATCGAAAAACACATTCGTACATGGCGGGATTCGAACCCAGGACCTGCAGATTTCAGGTCAAGTGCTCGATCCCTAAGCCACCGACGCTCTATATTATATTACTGCAGTGAAATTACCTGGCCAAATGTTGTCCCACATAATACGGACGTAGTCGTCGCGATTGTAAGTAGATTGCATATGGAAGAAGCCGATGATGTGCAGCCATTCGTGGACAATAGTGGTGTGTCTGAAGCAACCCTGACCAGGTATGTTGCGGGCTAGGTTCATGATGTGAAGACCACGGTCGTGCCAGTAGCCTACGTTAGCGTAGCAGCCATCGGAACGACCCTAGGATGAACAATCAAAACATTTTTGTTTTTGTATTTTGTACAAATTAGATCTTAGACTTAGGCTATTTTAAGAAATCGATTAGAAAACTAACATAGTACATGTCTATTATGTACATTTTCGTATGTTTATATTTTTATTTTTTATTTTGGATTTTCATTCTTTACATTCTCAGTATTAACTTTAATCACTGTTATCGATAATTTGTCCTTATGATTACTACAAATTTGAGTGTGATTAGATAAATTAGAAATGTCAAATTAAATCACAACTTGTTATCAAGTTGTTTAAAATTACAATAATAAAGTTGCAATTGTTTATTTGGGACGCGAATTCTAGTTATGATAGAAAATATTAAAGTAATAAATACAGTCGAATAATAAATACAGTCCTTCTTTTTGAAGTCGGAAAAAAATGAATACGATTGTAAGTGGTGTAGGAAGTAAACAATACAAGTAACAATACACGAATTCTTTTCTTACTGTATGAAAACAAAAAGAAGAAAAAATATTGGTTTGAAAACAGAACCATGTTAGTAATAAGTAGACTTCCCTTCAGTTCCTAGGTGTGACTTATAATGACTTGTAATGGACTTGTAGTGACTTATAATGGAAAATTGCTGATATCTCACCGTAAGTTTGACGTAGTTGAATTCTCCGGAACGTCTCTCCCGGAATTTCAGACACGTATTTTCTTCGATGTCCCTGATAGAGACCATTATTGCTTCTTTTTGTTCATCGTCTAAAAAGTTTATGAAAATGCTAAAATTCAATAGTGATAACGATTATTACTATGTATTAGCATCTTATTATCGGATTTCACAAACACTAGCTGTCGCCCGCGACTCTATCCGCCCGGAATTAAAAAAAAACTTAATTAGTAACATATGTCCATGCAGATTATGTTCTACATCTATGCTTAATTTTATCGATATCCGTACAGTCGTTCTGCAGATACCACCTAACAAACATCCATCTAAATATTCGTATATAATATTAGTAAAAAGTAAGAATAAACTTTTGAATATCGGTGCATTGACTATTTCTGTATGTAAGTAAGTTTGTATATTAATATGTAAATAAACTGACTAAATTCGTCCTCCCCGAATTCATAAACAATAGTGTTTTCTGGCCACTTAGTGCCAGGCCAGATATAGGCGTTCCTCGCGCCGGAGTACTGCTGCACGAGGGCATCCACTTGCCAGTCATCCAGCAGAATATCTCCTTCAAATTTGCCACTATTCTCCCACTCGCTTGCTTTAGGGTTGGCCAACATGCGCTCTGAAAGACGCACGCCATGTTCTGAAAATTATTTTTTAAAGTAATTAGTTTCGTGTCCACATGAGAAATACCATTATTTTTTATTAATTTTGGAATTCTATGACCCGATTAAAGTTCTACTTCCAGATATATGTTGTCACTTTTTAAGACTACTAACGCCATCTATGATTCCTACTATTCACTAATTATATTATTATAAAAATACCGTTTTTGTCAAACATTTGAAATTTATATAGGTACCTGTGCGACTATTCTCCAAGAAATTCCTGAAGGATTCTATTTGTTCCCTCGTCTTGGTAACTGGTGGGCTGCAAACAGCTAACCCCACCAGAAGCAAAACAAAACTTAGTTTCAACATTTTTATATTTTATGAAATACGCGTTCCCATTTTGTATTTATATGCGCACGTATTTTGATAAAATAATTTGATTAATGAGCTTCAGATAATTGAATTAATATGATAGTGAGATTAAAATTATAATTTAAATCCATACTGTCAAGAGTTTTAACTCTATCCATCTATCCGTTCAGTTAAACCTAATGTTCATTTTGTATAGTATACCATGCATACAACTCTATAGAAATATACGATCACTATAAAATAATTTTTAACTTAGTTTTATTAAACTTATTTATGCTTCTGCGTATTTTTTGCTTTTCTTCAAAAAATAAATCTTGCCACAATAAGGCTTTAAAGTCTACATTAGTTAAAAAAAATAAAAATAGCGTAAAAACGAAATTAAACGCAATCTAGATACATCTTATCATACCAATATTACCTAATTTGAATGACCTTGAAATAAAAGAATTAGTGTCAAATGCTATGTCAATTTAGTTTATAATATTATATCAATAGATGGCGGAACGTATTGTTAGATCGCGGTATCAATTTATTTGGTATATTTATCGACTTGCCGATCGAATTTAATTAAAGTTGACTCGCACCAAGATATAACCAGTGTTTCATTGTGAACACTCGATACATTTCCAGTGAGAGGGAGACTTTTTGAGACTGCTTTACAATTAGAGTTATTGCAAAGAAACGTTCAATGTATATAATTAAATGAATTCAAGCGACAAATGAATCCTAAATTGGAGAGTGTATATGAGTTGTATGATATAATAATTAAAGTGCGATAACTTACTATATGTTGTATGTTTTTGTATCGTAATCAAATGATTAGCAATTATTGTTTTTTTATCAAAAGGTGGCAAACGAGCGAGCGTCCACCTGAAATCGCTGAAATAGCGAAGTGACGGGGACCGGGACGCACACTCATCAGACGAAACGCGGAATAGCTTCCACTTGACGCCTGTCTTCTGTGTGGTCATGGTATTTCACCGGGCGAGCCGGGCCAATTCGTGCGAAGATGTTAAAGCGGGCTCTACCACTGTTAAAATACATTAAAATACACTGTTAATTACATTAAATTATTTGATAAAGATACTAAGAGCTAAGGAAAATACAAATTAGTTTACGTCATTTCCATCATCTGGCTGTCCCTTTATACTACTTAATGTCGGCACAGCATGTACTATTCTTCCATACATCTTTATCAGCTATCATATCTGAATTCACCCCCTTCTTACTTACTCTTTCATACAATCTATCCATACTTTCTTCCATCTTCTACTTCAGTAGACTATTCAATCTCATTTTATGACATTTTTTTTAAATTAAAAATCTTCCTCTTATAAACGACACATAAACCCAATGTGTACACCAATGCATTACTTATTCCATTTTAATATGTTTCTCTAGAAATACACAAAAACGCTGAAAGATAAACGAAATACTGCATTAATTTACAAACAGCAAAATTATCATAAAAAAACAACAAAATTCGCCTTTAAAAGTATTTCTATTTTTACATCCATTATTTTGTTATAAACGTTATATTTATTTCTCAGGCTTTGTCGACGAAGTTTACTTTCTGCCCGTTCTCTTCTTTTGTCTTCGAGTTTTTAACTGGACACTTGTAATGTCTTCTCACTCTGAGCCAATCGTTTTCAGTCACGTATTCCTGCTGGCCCATTACACCTTCGAAACTCTAGAAATATAAGTTTGTTTAAAAAATGAAATTCACGAGACAAGAACTAGAAGCAATCTATGCGTATTGTGCATAGAGTACCTAATCAATGTCCTAGTCTAGTTTAAAAATAACAATGTAAATTTCACTTGACGACTTTTTTCTTGAGTACAACTAGAAGATAGTTCCAGTTCTGTTATTTCATCTGAGCTGTCATAAAAATGAAATAAAGTTTGTTGAAAAAAAAACCTTACTTGTAAAGCTTCTATTGTTGGTTTTCCATTGACGCTAAATCCGTAAGCGCCGTAGTGCATGCAGCTGTTATATTCGTAAGGCAAACCCATATTATCTACCATCTCTTCGTCGAAGAGTGCAAAGTTGTGTTCCTGGTCTGTAAATTAGTTTATCAGTAACGTACAAACTATAACTAAAGAGATTATTCTTGCAAAAAATATAATAGGACCGTAGTAGACATCATGACGTTCTTGTTTCCTAGTGTTTCTTTCACAGAATAGGGCCACGAAAATGTTTTTAAAACACTGGTCTTTTTTATACCAACTTGTTGGATAACCGTGGAGAAATTATAATTCTTAATTGGCCTAGCAAATACACGGTACATACCGAGCCACAGTGATGAGCTATATAACACAGTTTGGATACTCTTAGTGGTTCTATTTTGTTAAACGTAAACTTCAAAAAACCTGGAATAATGTTGTCCCATAAAATACGGACGTATTCATCTCGGTTGTATGTAGAATGCATGTGGAAGAATCCGATAATATGGAGCCATTCGTGGACAATAGTCGCGTGTCTAAAGCAACCTTGTCCGGGCGGGTCCAGTGCCAAGTTTAAAATGTGTTCGCCGCGAGCCTCCCAGTAGCCGACGTTGGCATAGCAACCGTCATCGGTATTCTAGAAAACAAGTAAACAATATTATTTATTTTTCTATGACAGTGTTGCTCCAAAGATTCATAGAATGATATAAAAACGTAGTCATGCAAAATTTTATGAATAATGGGTTAGGTTAGGTAATTCAAATCTATAGAATCACACAATCGGTCCAATGGGAACTTCTTTCCCTTTGGGCCGATTGATCGGTAGGCCGATCGGCCCAACAGGAAGTATTGGTGTATTTTATAACCTTCTGTAATTTTTCAGAGGAAATATTGTGATTAGATTAATTATAATTTTATTATCAAATTCATAGGATTTTAATTGTAGTCGATTATGATCTTGCCAATAATATAAATGCGAATGTTTGGATGGATGGATGAATATTTGTTTGAAGGTATCTCCGGAACGGATCTCGATGAAATTTGGAATACATATAGAATGTAGTCTGAAAGAACACATAGGCTACTAATAATTTAGTTTTTAATCCCGCGTTGACTGAGTCGCGGGCAACAAATGGTTAAAATAATATATTAAATTATGATAAAATTAAAATTGCAATTCACCGTAAGTTTTACGTAATTAAAGTCATCAGGTCGTCTTTCACGGAATTTAACGCACGTATTTTCTTCAATGTCCTCGATTGCAATCATGATGGCTTCCCTCTGTTGCCCGTCTAAAATATAATAATAACAATGTATAAAGGTCATCGTCCAATTACAGTTTACGTAGACCTTGTACAAGTAAGATGTAGACGTAGACTTAAGTTCAAGTAAGAACTAAAAGAAACATTAACAATTTTTCATAGCTTTAATCAGAACGCAGCAAAGGAAGCACTTAAAACCACATAATAATTCTAATAAAGTTCGTTTTATGTTTTATTAGTCTTAAATATTAACTTACTAAATTCGCTGTCTGCGAAATCATAGACAATAGTGTTATCAGGCCAATTGGCGTCAAACCACACGAAGGCATTCCTGGATCCAGCGTAGCTTTTCACCAGAGCGTCCACTTGCCAGTCATCTAGTAGAATATCACCCTCGAACTTGCCACTGTTTTCCCACGCGCTTGCCTTAGGGTTTGCAAACACGCGCTCTGACAGACGCACGCCATGATCTGAAAATTTATTTCAGTATCGAGGAAAAAGTGATAAGATTATTTATAGATGGTTACAAAGTTAGAGGAAGACCTAAGAACGTATAGATAGAGCTGGGAGAGATTATATGTGTAAAAAGGGGTGAAATCGGATGTGAAGGCTGATAGAGATGTATGGAGGAGTAATACCGGGGCGACCCTCCGTTAGGACAAGGGAAGGTTGATGATGATCTTCATTCAAGTACAGATCAATAAATGAAATATTGTATACGATTGCATTTAAATCTAATAATAATTTATTTGAGACTTGTCTATCGCTGAGTTCTCACTGTCGAAACAGCACCTACTTTCAATGAGATTATATTACTTTTTCTTCAGTCATCAGTACCCTTTTTGTATGTAAGAAATCACAGCAATAAACCTGTCTTATCGATTACAATATACATATTAAATATACGATATATTAAAGATACTGTTTAACCGGAAGCGATTAAATTAATCTTCCAATGTATATTAAAAATCTATGTATGTTTGGTTGTATCTCTAGTCTAACTCTAGGTTTAAGTAGATTTTTTTCTTGCATTTTCTTTCGCTTTAAGAACTACTATAATGTTCCGATAAACTAGTTTTCTCTTATTCTCATAAAATATACGTTCTTTCATTAAATTCATGTTACTTTCTTTTAAATTTGTTTAAGATTAATGTCAAAAAAGGTACTAAAAGATAATGGCTTACAACATTACTAATAACATTAATTTAGTCCTCTTTCCTTTCTCACCCTTTGTCTTATAAGGAAAGGATGGGAAGTGAAAGTGCACTTTCCGGATGAGAGGATGCATGGGAAGGGAAAATTTTTCTTTCTGTGCATCCTTCCGTCGCTTAAAGGTAGGCAAAGCATATGCAATTGCGTATGTCTATTGGCTAAAGCCACTTCGCTATTACAGCGATTTCAAATGGCCGCTAGCTTATTTGTCACCTTATGATATAAAAAAAAATTACCACGTTAAAACACTAAATACCTGTGCGAGTCTTCTCCAAGAAATTCCTGAAGGATTCTATCTGCTGTCTTGTTTTTGTAAAAGATGGCCCGCCGACTACAAGCCCTACCAACATAAAGAACAAACTGGCCTTCAACATTTTAACTTTTGTAAGAAATGAGTTTACATTTTTGTATTTATACGTATCATATTTGATATATCATTTTGATTAATATGCAAGATAAACAATTATTTAGAAATAAGGATTGTAATTCATTTAACTATAACTATTGTTATTTCCTTCCGTCTGTTTAATCACACAAATTAATTATTTAATAGGCATTAGTTATTAAAAATTATTAATCATTTGGCGGGAATGGCGTGCTTTCGTTACAAAGTCAATTGTCAGAATGATTAGTGAGGGGTCATAAACGTTGACATTTTAATAAAGAAACAGCGCCAGTACACATAAGGTTTTTTTAAAGTCTGGGATGTTTTTCACTAATTTAAATGCAAACAGAATGTAAATGAAACCTTGAAAACACATCAAAAAGTTTTCTTTTTAATTATTATTTAATCCGAATAAAAAATTCTGGAGCCATATCCAAGTGAAACTATCATACTATGGTTTCCAGTAAACTGATATAAGGTTAGCAACAGCAATCGAGATATCTGATAAATATTGTTTAGAGGGCGAACGTGTTATTATTGTCATATTTAATTCATAAAATTAATTAAATACATAAAACTGTTTTAAATTGATCTTTTCAGATATCTTAGGGGTTCTTATCTTTGTGCAAGTCGGTGCGGATAACACAATTTTAGATGTCTTGGGGCGTAGCGGGATCTGGGGGGAAGGCACTGCGAAGTACGCCGATGAACTTGAGCCGCCAAGATATTTGAAAACAGTTTTATTTACGATTCTAGTTCTGTCGCCATCTAGCCGATTGTATTCGTATTTACTCGTATTATTTTAGTACATAGGCTTTGCCAGGGTAGTGGGGTAGAGATGGTAGAGTGGTGGGGACAGATGCTACCCCCATCCATCCATTTGGTTATCCTTCGTTGTAACATTAAGGTAACATTGAAATGAAATCAATCTATTCAGTTTAATTGAAAAATGTATTTATTTTTCGTTCTCTAAATATAAAAATATTTCCGTAGCTCTACACAGTAATAGAATATCAATATAATACTTAAAGAATAATAACAAAAAAAAAATGTTTCAAGATACAATATTATTGGACGTGCAACCCATTCTCTCGTTCCTTGTAATTTTTAATATAAAAATTATTCGGACGCTCACAAACACTACCGCTGATCAGTTGCTGCAAACGACCATCTCATAACAACTACCCAACTATCTATTGTATGGAGATTTTAATTTTGACATCTCTAAACCGATAAAAGGCATGTTTACTCCGCTGGCGCATTGACCCAAAATGGATCTTGGCACCCAAGAGATCGGTATGTTTATATTAGATTTATTCCAGCCGTATAGTGTATGTTTCATTTAAATGAATATGTCCACTCACGAAATACAGATTAAGACGTATTGTCTTTCTCATTTTCTTTGAAGAGAGACAATATGTTACGAAAGTAAATTTTTGGAGCTAAGTAATAAATCAGAAAACTGTAGGCAGATTCCGGTTGATTGATACTTTAAAAAAAGTTTGACTTTAAAACTGTTTTTATCTTATATATATAAAAGAAAGTCGTGTTAGTTACACTATTTATAACTCAAGAACGGCTTTACCGTTATGGCTGAAAATTGGTGAGAAGGTAGCTCAGAGCCAGGCGACGGACATACGATACTATTTATTCATTTTTTTAAATTTATGCCTTTTTTTTATTTAATTTACTAATATTATAAATGCGAATGTTTTGATGGATGTAATGTGGATGGATGGGTGGGCTACACTAATTAAGTTTTTTATATATCCACGCGGACGGAGTCGCGGGCGACAGCTAGTTTATAATAAAACTGGATTAATAGTATAGTCACCAATAGATGTGTGTAGTTGTTAGAAATGTCTCCCCAAGAATACAAAAATATTATCTAACTTACTTATAATATCAGTTCAATAATGTTATACTATATAGATGCCACTATCAACATTTACATACAAAACTTATTACGTAATTATCGGCAATTTTTTTTTCGTTATAAAACACCACATCCAAACTTCATATACCATTCGTGGCACTTTTATAATATTACATTCCTAACTCTACATGAGCTCCGATATTACGAACTATTTTTTTTAAATTAAAGTACTTGTGCCCTTACTTATAAAAAAAATACAATTTTTATCGTATTCTATATTAATACGAATAGACAAAATATTTAAATGTTGGCATTTTTAATCTGTAGTTTAATTTTAGTTAAGATTTTTTTTTATCTGAGCGTTTACATATTTACATTATTCTATTTTGATAATTGTCTGGTACCTGCCAGTTTGTTGCTTATTTAAATTATAATAAAAAAACTTTATAACTGTTTAGTTTTAAACCTATATCTGATATTGAACATATTAAAATATTTTTTTTTATTCGTATGGCGTCAAGAAAATTTTAATGTCATATTTTTTTTGATAGCTATCGACTTATCTACAGATTTAAATCTGAACATAACTATATTACTTAATGTCTTATTTACTTAAAGTATATACTAAAATAAAAGTATTGCAACAAATATTGGGATTTGCTTATAGCAATAGACTTAAAAATAAAAAAGGCAGTGAGCACTGGTTTTGACAGCTGTCATTACACAGCTTAAAAATAAAAAAAGAAACGTGCAAAATAAAGCTTAAAGAACGCATTTAAAGTTTATATTTAAACGTCTTTACGCTTAATATTGCACTCAAGAAAAAATAAATAACATAATATACTAAAACATTGTCATTTTTGATTAAATATCAAATATTTATAGGTTATGTTACTAAATATCGTCATAATATCGAAAAGGAGCTTATAAAGCGTTAATCTGGACGAAATAGAATATAACCATGAAGTAATATGGAAATAATAACACAGGAAAGAGAAATAGTAATAAAATACAAGTATTGCATTAGTTTGATGCAATCTACGTTATTTTAAACCATATACACATTGTTAAATAGAACTTTATTATCCAGATTTTCTTATCTCTATAAATAGATAGGTCATTGCTCAAATATTACAGCTTCTTTGTTGCGACATTAGGCATCTATTCATATAACTGAGAGTTAATTCTGTGTATTAGTTTAAATTTTCACAACAACGCCATTATGGCGAATATCAAGTTGGCACAATATCCTACGTCTTATAGCCTGTCTATTTATAGAGTTAAGTGTCTCCGTACAATTTCGAAATGTTCCAATTTCAAATAGATTTTGATCCATATTTTCAATTAAAAACTTTAATTACATTTTAAACTGGCCAAAATAAAAAAAATAATTATAAAAGAAAATATAATCAAATACAATTGCAACATTAAAAAGCTGCAAAATATAAAGTTTTTTATAAAAACCTACTTAAATATCATTCTGAAAGTTTCACCTTCAGAAACTAACCTACTATGGACATACATAATTATATTAAACCTAATATAATGGCAATGAATACAAAATAGGCTGAAGTAAATAATATAGCCCTTTAAATAAAATACAATTAAAAAATCACGTAATTTTTACATTGTCACAGAGATGTATAAAAATACAACTAGAAGCGTTATTAAGTATTAACTTCATTTATCCATGCATAAATATCTTCTAAACAATATCCGGCAAAGATCCCCCCAAAAAAAATGTGTAAAAAATATAGAACTTCTATAGGAAAAGATATACGTAAAAAAATTTTTTTTTTATTTATGCCCAAATTATTTTGCCCTTAAGTGTATGTGCCACAAACTACACAATTTTTTTCTTTATTTGCTTGTAAAGTAATATTTTATTTTGTGTAAAAAGGTTTTCATGAAAAAAACGTCAGTTAGTGACTTGTATATTAAAAATGCAATTGGCAAGATTGAATTTCTTTAAATATATATAGTGTTAATTGTATCAATTTGAAGACATTATTTGTGTTTAAAAAATTAAGCATAAATACTAAAGTTCAATGCATATATGAATTGTTCCCTTATAAATCATTCCTTGGACCAAATTATAACCTAATTATTTTGAGAAACACTTTTTTCTAGAAATTAAATCGCTATCTCGTATTTCCAACGAAGTTTATGCAATAGTGTTATGGCGGCCATCTTTGAAATTTGACGTTTGTATGTTTACAAGATTTGTCGTTGGTTTTTGAGGAAAAATTCCTTGGGTTATATTGTTATCTCTGTTTTGTCAAAGATAATGAGAGGGATGACGATATATTTTTTGCACGGCTCAGGATCCAATAATCAGGTGTGTATTTGGTAAATGGGATACGTATTATAACAGTCTGTTTTGGTTATATTAATAAATATTTCAATATAAAAAGAGTTTTCTAACTTTATATCGTTTGACAAACAATATCTAAAGAGAGAACAATTCTTTTTAATATTAATAGAAGAATTAAGTCGTACTTCGTAAATATAAAATATTAATATCGTTCGGTATTTAAGCAAAGTTTATAAAAAAAATGCATAGAAACGGCAGTAGATAGTTTACTTGGCACCTAAGAATACTCTTAATGTATGTATGTTTGTATGAAGCATGTAAATGATGAATATGAAGCAGTCTTTATATTTAAGGCCAATATAAGTTATATTTGGAGCTTGTCATTATAAAAAATATTTATTCAGTGTATTTTAGGTTATTTTTTTAAAAACGAATTGCTCTTTACTAAAATAAAATAAATAAATACATCCATTAAATATTTTATAAAAAAAAGTGTTAATGTAAGGAATTTTTATGGTAAAAAAATACAAAACGTTTTAATTATATTGCGTTTTATCTATATTGTAAATATATAGTAGTAAAGAGCAACTCGTTTCTAACTTGTTAACCTATCGACTCTATATCTATAGTAATAAAGGCTAAAGTTCATCGTTTATAGTTTGAGCAATATATAGATAAATATATTAGGTAGATTCAGTGATCTCCTCTGAGCAGTTCCATTAGCAGGTTGAAGCTGGGACCGTCGCCATCTTTGCTCTTGTTGGCGGGATTCAGCATTTCTTTGCCAACTTGCATGAAGAACTGCGAAATGAAAAAACTGATTGTAAGAGCCTAATAACTAAATTAGGCGTTAGGACTTTCACTTGACTGTATTGTAGCTAAGACGTAATGCTGCTTCGGGTCCTAGCAGTGTAATTTATAATTGTTTTCAGATATCTTGAAGGCTCTTAACTTCTCGCGAGTCGCTGCGTAGAATACTATTTCAGAGGTGACTACGCAGCATATATGACCTTGAACTGTCAAGATATTTAAAAAGAACTATACCTGGCAGGTGCGCTGCAGCTCGGGGATGCGCAGCAGCAGCTCACCAAACTTGGCGGGTGCGTCTGGCGAGTGCGCGGCGGTGTACGCCTGCAGCGCAGCTAAAGCTTTCTCTTGTGACGCCCGCACTTTCTCAGCCTCGCGTAACTCCGGCGCGTCTGAGCGCACACAAACACACATATTATAGACAGGGACAAAAACACAAAGACAACTTGTCCAATAGACTTGTAGAGAATTGACAGAAATATAAATCTTTTTTTTCTAGCTTTTACTGGACTTTGTCCGCGCGGAATTAAAAAAACTTAATAAGTAATCTATGAGTTCTATCAGACTATGTTGTACATCTGTGCAAAATTTCGTCGTGCTCCGTTAAGCCGTTTTGGAGATACGTTATAAGAAAAATCCATCCATCCAACCTTTTACATTTATAAAATAAGTAAGAAGTAGAATGTAGACAATGTAGTGAGCATAATCCAATATTTTTTCTTCAACTGTTAAAATTTTAAGTTGGTCCTTCGAGCAGGATGTTTATTTATATACTTAATAATAACCTGAAGTGAGCAGTACGATGACTTTGAGCGCGACGTACTCGTAGCGGTCGACCCGCAGCCGCCGCAAGTGGTCCGTGAAGCTCAGCATGCGCTCTATACACGGCGTTAGGCCGAATCTAGAAAAAAAAACAATGTACAGATATTATTAGTATAATTTATTTTTAAAAATTAACAATGAATTGATGATTTCATTGAAATTAATCCTTTATCTAGTTTAGAGTCAAACAAGGATATCTGAACCGGTAAAAGGCGCTGCTGTCGCATTTGGTTCACTCAGAATAGTTATAAAACCTACTTAGATTAGAAAATGACATAAAAGAAGAAAACAACATGATAGCTACAGAGGACCATGTGATATATTTTGACGTAGACAGAGGGGCGCTAATGAGCTGTCATAATTTAGTTTAACTTATCCCCTCCGCGGCAGATAATTGTCCATATTTTGTAAAATCTTTATGGTTATTTAATTATCTTGATGTTATTCATCAGTAGAATTGGTATTATTGAGTTTGGCTGAGAATATTTCCAGTGGGCTATGTCGAGGTATAGAACTAACTTAGCACTTTGATGCAGCGTGAGTCCGCGTCCGCCGCCGACGCGCACCTCGCCGGGCGTGGCGACGCCGCGGTAACAACACGACAGCACCAGCAGCTCGCACCAGCTGTTGATCAGCAGGCAGATCTGGTCGTCGATCTGCAATACACGCAACACATCAAATAATGAATGTGAGGAACACAAGAAACATATAAATATATCTTACTAATATTATATATGCGAACGTGTGGATGTATGGATGGACGGATGGATATTTCTTTGAAAGTACGACCAGAACGGCTGCATTGATGTAGGATGTATGAAAGAACACATAGGTAACTAATTAAGTTTGTTTTTTAATTCCTCGCGGACAGAGTTGCGGGCGACAGCTATAAATTATTTATACGTACCGATATATTCTTAAAGAGCGGCAGACTCTTGCACCATTTTACGATCTTGTAGAGGCGGTGGTCAGCGATGTGGCAGAGGTCGGCCAGCAAGTCAGCGCTGGATGTGTGCGGCGTGATGCCGCTGGCCGCCAGCAACGGGTTGGCCCCCACCCCCGCTCCACTTCCTGCCCCCGCCCCCGCCCCACTACCAGACTTGCCGAGGCGACTCAGCTCTGACTCATTGTACTGCCACAGGTGTTCTACGTCCATTATCTCCTGCAATATATGTTTTTGATTCAGTTTTAGACACTAATTGGCATAAAATTGTTACACTTCAGCAGAAGTGTCAAATATTTGTACCTGCAATAATGTAGGAATTTCTGGAGTCAGTCTGCTATTACTGGCTTCTCCTCGACTGCTGTAAGACCCTGGACCGTTTACCTGAAATAAGTTTTATATGTAACAATTAATTACGACTAATAACATTATAATATTAATTTTAAATAATGTTGGTCCTTCGAGCATGATATCTACAGTAAGACAGCAATGTTATCAATGTTGTTTCTAGCTGTAAACTAAATTTCAAAAAATATAATAAAACCCTTTTAACGGTTAAAAAGGAGCACAAATATGCTATAATAATATAGTTTCACTTATGACCACGGACACAAGTCTTAACTTAAGTCCAGCCGAAACCGCCGAGGATATAGGTGAGAGAAGACCGCGCCAAATGTGTGTGTCTGTCTCCCGTTTGGTGTTACGGATGCGAGTTGTGTTGGGATGGATAGACTTACGATGTTGAGACTGCTGGCGTGGCGCAAGGTGGGCGGCGCGTGCGCAGAGAGCAGCGAGCCGGTGGAGGCGGCGCCCGACAGCGAGTACGAGCACTGGTACGTCGAGCGCCCGCCGCGAGTTCGGTCCTCACGAATCGCTATACAAATTATATTCCTTAGTAATTTATATCACAAACAAAAATTACTTTAGTACTTTACTTTGTTGGTTCAATTTACTTTTTTAAAATAGTAGCTGTCACCTGCGACTTCGTCTGCCAAATATCATTGAAATCCATGCAGCTGTTCTGAAGATACCTTCTAACTAACATCCATTCAAACATTCGCATTTAAAAGAACAGAAGAATGTATCAGGGAAGATTTTGCTTATGCCAACAAAATGCTTATTGTGTCTGAAAATGTCCTTTCAAGACTGAATCTTTTATGATGCCCTCACGTATGAAAAAACATATAAGTAAGGTATTTGAAGGTATACCTTCAAGCTTCATGCCGCAGCCGAGGCACTTGTCGAAGCGGCAGGCGGGACACTTCTTGCGCGTGGCGACAGTGACGGGGCAGCTGCCGCCGCGCAGGCACATGTAGTTCTTGCGGTTCTGTACTGTGCGCTTGAAGAAACCCTTGCACGACTCGCACGAGAAGATGCCGTAGTGGAAACCGCTGATCTTGTCGCCGCAGATTGGACACGGGCTGAACGTAAATATCATCATATTAGATGCTAAGCAAAAGTAATCTAAACCTAGATTTGTTAGATATAATGGAATAGGACACTAGCGTACTTAACTTTTTTTTAATTTTTGAAACATAGAAAACATTTTTTGTCGTCTTTTAAAAAATATTTTTATTTTCTTTTCGATATAACCTCTTACTCTATCTCCCTAAATCTCCCCCTCCCTCTCTTTATATCTAGCTGTGAGTATATTATATAGTAGGGTGGGAAGTGACCTGTTGATGAGCTGCTGCCTGCTGATGCCCTGGTGGTGATGCAGGCGGTCGTCTGCAGCGTCCTCGTCCTCGTGCTCGCGATACACCACGTGCGGCTGCCGACTCTGCTAAAAGGAGAACATAACTTATTATTAACCATATTTTTCTACATAACTCTTTGACGTAAGAGAACAGGGTATCAGGAACAGGGAGTGGATTAATTCAAGAAAGTTTCCTTTTACCCTTTGTTCATAAATTTTCTAGTCAAAATTGCGATGCATGGATAACTGTTTCTTACAAGATATCTTCAGATTGGCTCAACGGATCTTAATGAGCTTTAGCATATATGTAGAACATAGTCTGGAAGAACACATAGGCTTAATAAGTTTTTTTTATTACAGCGCGATCGGAGTCGCATGCAACAACTAGTTAAAAAAAAAACCTGGACATTGCTAGACGTAATTAGTCATCATATATAAGATACCTGTACGGGTGAATGCGTGGGTGAGAACTCGGAGCTATACGAGTAGCAGGAGGAGTGTGAGGCGTCGCTGTTGTTACGCGACAACGACGGGGTGTAGTGCCGTGCAGGACGCGGACTCGCTGATGGACTGCTGTACACACTGACAAACAATACGATGGTTATTTATATCACCTACATGTAATTACTGGATTACCAGAGCTGTTTTCTTCACCATCATCATCACCCTTTTGTCAGCCCATTGATGGATATAGGCATTGTTGAATTAGACAAATTAGCAGAGTAAGGTCACATAAAAGGACGTAATGTTGTTAACAGTCCCACTATATGTAGGGTTGTTGCACTAATTTTTGACCACCAGACTACTACTAACTCAAACTAGCATTCCTAATTTTAGTTGCAATTAGTAATCATGTCAATTAATCGATGGATTGCGTGAAAGATGACAAAATTAAAAAAAATATACAAGTTACAAAAGTAAAAAGTGCGTAGAGGTGTTCCAACCTGTGCGTGTACATAGAGTGTACGGCGGAGTCAGTGCTGGCGCTTGACTGGACGCGCGGCAGTCGGCCTAGTAGCGGCGACCCGTGGAGCCCCACCAGCTTCTCCATACCACAACCACCCTCGCATTTCAATTCTTTAACAAACATTACACATATAATTAGAAACGATAACATAAACAATACCAAAATTTCTTTTAGATGGCTATCAAGACTTAGAAGATAATAGAGTGCATATTAGTAAGTATAACTGTCCCGCTCTATCCAAAGCATATACCTGATAGTTGCGTCTCCTTCTTTATAGTGAGGTTCTGTGCTTCGACAGAGGGTGTGATGAGCGGCAGCGCAGTCTGCTCGGCGAGGATCAAGGACTTGGCGCTGTGTGTAGGGGACGACGGTCGCCGCGGCAGGCACAGTGATGTGCTCTCAGTTAGTACTGATATCTGACAAATAAAACATGTCATTGATTAAAAAAATATATAAAAGTGAAAATAATTATGAGACTTTCTACATTACTTGAATTAACTAAAACGCGAAATAAATTCAACCTACTTCACGACTATTTTTTTGTTGATTACAGATGTTCTTAAATTTACTATTTCTATCCGTTAACTACTGCGACACCAATAGTTCTGACCATAGAATAAAGTCAAATGAAAGTCTGTAAATTCGTTAAGCACGTGTATTCGTATTCTAATTCGAAATTTAAAATTGTGGTCAATAACTGTTACTCTTACCCTATTCATACTAAGACTGCGCTGATGAGGCTGTAATGGCGCAGAGTACTTCAAATCTAGTACACGCTGGTCGTCGAAGCTTTGGAAGGTTTCCGTCTTGAGGGGTTCAGCTTTGATGGTCACGTTACGAAGGGTGTCTATTGAGTCACGCGATGATTGCATATCTATTGAACTGCTGTTCTCATCTGTAACAAATGACGAGACGATATAAAATCTATCTATCTAAGATTGAAGACACGTGTAAAATAGAGTTCAATAGAAATGAGATATTAACAAACCAATCTAAAAATAATACCTTTATATGTCTATAACCACAGACTTATTAAAAACAGACATGTCTGTATCATTAATTTAAAAGCTTACTTCCAATATAAATCAATAGACAATAATTGATAATTTCAGAAAATTAAATACATAAATATAATTTTAAACACCCGCAATGTTTTAATGAATGGTGTTCTCTTTCTAACTACCCAAATTGCTTATCATTTCTTTTTGTTTATTTGTAAGGTATATCATATTGTAAAAATAAAAATGTATGGTACGGAAGAACGGAGCATTCTGTTACAGGTATTATATACTTAGAAGGATGCTCCAACAACTGATGTATATTTTTATGTGTACTTTGGTTTAAATAAATTATTATTATTATAAATATAACTTCATCCTCCAAGTGGCAAAAGAAGACAATATTTAATTCGTGCAAAATTTTTGACCACACATAAAGAATTTTATGTCGCATCGAATTCATGGTTCAACTCTGTCAAGATACTGAATTCATTCTCAGTCAAGGTCTCCAAGTTTTTAAAAATGTTTTGATACTTGTTACTAATAGCTCAAGTGTCATACCATTGTGGACCGTGTCTATAACCATCTCGGAGTCAGACAACTCTCCCTCCCACGACATGGGTCGCTCACGTTCGCTGCCCCCCTCGCACGGCGCGCCAGCACCGCTAGACGACCGCTTCTTCTTATTTCGCATGTTGACCTGCATTATACATAGTTCAAGTTCATATTGATAGAATACTAAAGACGGGAGGTACTAAGAGCACTCCAGACCCACGACATTTATGCGTGGATAGCGTAAAGCCGGACACAGTAGAGGTTATGATTGTGTCCGGGTTGTTCAGCTTTTGTTAGGCTATTTACATTTCGCAAACAAGAGTGGCCTTAATAATGTATGGTGTCCGGGCTTTTTACCCAAATGTCCGGCTAAACTGGTCTGTCCGGCTATAAGGTTTGGCGACCTGGCAGATGCATGTATGAAGCGAAAAAGGTTATAATAATTTATACTTTTCGATAGTCACTTGTTTTGTTATTGATAAAGCTTTTGAAAAATGAACATTGTGGTTTACCTCATATTGATGCTGTGTGAAGTCGATCTTGGAGATCTCTGCATCAGTCGAGTCTTCGTCGTGAGGATCCGAAGACACGCTGATGCGCACTCCGCTCGAACTATACGAGAATTGACCTGGAACATTGAAAAATAAAACGAAATCAATTAAATGCATCATACATACATGTAGTGTCACTGATGTACAAAACATAGTTTTTATATGTAAAAAAGAGTTCTATTACATAATTTTATTACATCTTGTCACGATTGTATAGTAAACTTTAATAAGATGTCTAACATCTGTCTACGTATATAATGTAATTATATTATAAGTAAAATTTGAATTATTAAAGCTATGCAGAACTGATCGCCAACCTTCGCTAGTCGGAGAGGCACCTCAAGAAGAAGATTAAAGCTATAAAAAATTTCCCAAATTTGACGCAAATAAAAATGCACACCTTGTCCACAGTAAACAATATCACAAGGACAGTTTATCTCAACGTTTATTTATGGAAGGTCGCTTCGATATATCTATTTTTATTTAAATAATACGAACTTTGAACTTATTTACATTGATTTTATTATAAACTGAATATAAATGAGTATTACACAAACAACACTATTAATTAAACAAAAAAAAAACACTCGGAAGAATACAAATCGAATGTCACCTCAAAATAGGTTCAGTCATTACGAGACAGAAGTTCACAATGGTATTTTTTGATATTATGCAAACAAATACCAAAATATTACCCTCCTGAGTCATTTCCGTCTTTGTTAAAGTCGGAATAACCCTTAAAAATATGTTCAGTCTTTGGGCTATTGAAGTTCACAATGGTATATTTTGATATTACGCCAACAAATACCAAAACATTACCCTCATGAGTCAGTTCCGTCTTTTTTAAAGTCGGAATAACCCTTAAAATAGGTTCAGTCTTTAGGCTACAAGAGTTCACAATGGTATTTTTTGATATACATACAAATCTATATCCATAAAAACATTACCCTTCTATGTTAGTTCGGTCGTTTTTAAAGTCTAAACTCTAATCGGAATATTCCCCTGTCAAAATCTCAAGTTATCACAAACTTATGTCACAGGCTTATGTTAATGTAAAATTTTCCCAAAAGTAATTGTAAGATAAAATATCTTTGACTTGTCACGATATGATTACAAAAAAAAACATTAGTTCTACAATTTTTTCCATCTTATTTTTATCTCGATCACTGATATCTCTAATTGATTGTAAAATTAAATTAAACTGCGACTCAACAACTAAATTAGCAGCTTGGACTTTTCTGAGACCTTAGGTACAAAAGTTCATAGAGGTCCGTAGATTAACCTCAGATTAGCAACAGGCATTATAAAATAATAAATTTGTTTGTTTATCGTTTATATTTGAATCTTACTTCTAACCAATTCTTACTTTCTTATTTATGTTATAAATGCGAATGTTGAGATGGATGGATGTTTGGTTGAAGCTATTTCCGGAACGGCTAAACGGATCTCGCTGAAATACGGCATAGATGTAGAACATAGTCTGACAGACCGTAGACGAAGTTGCGGGCGACAGCTAGTCTTTATTAAATATTTTCTCCGCTTATTATTAATTGTTACCTAGACAAAAAGCTCTGATAAATTGTTTATAACGACAATCTTGAAACTGATAACCCCTATTAAAGCAAAAAGCGTGAGAGTTTTAACTTTAACTTGTTTCCAAGATAGTGCGAAGGTGCAATCTATTAAATACAAGATTATCTTTGAAGTAAGAGAAAACCGATCGGCGGGTTCGAGCGCCCTTAACTCTAATTTATGGATTTCAACTTTCTAGACAAACTGCAACTGCCGCGCTAGCTCACCGCCAATTAAAGGCAAAACTACCTAGACTACATATAGAGCGACTGAAGAATGTTAATACTTGATAAGTGTTTTAACACACAATTAAAGCATCATGTATACTAGTAGCATGCATAGAAATAGTTGCAAATTATGTAAAAATATACGATTTGTGTGAAATACCAAACACACAAATTATATTATATTATTGTAATTAGATTTTTTAATATAAATGAAAAAAAAAACTGTTGCAGAAGAATTTTAGAGATGATTGAAACAAATTACTTGTTTATATAATATTTTTTTTATCAATTTTCTGTTTTTAGCAAATTATAAAACAAATTTAAAATTAACTTTCTATAGAGATTTGGCGACATAATCGCATTTGTGATAAGCGGTTTACGATAAATTATCAGAAAGCTGGTTATTTAATTTATCACAGTATGCATTACTTAAACCAATAGATAATTATTTTGTTTGATATAGAGAATATAGTTTCGCTTACCATCGCTGGTCTCGGGGCCCGACATGCTGATAGTGGTGACGGACACATGGCCCCCTTCCACCTTCACCGAGTCACCATCACTCGACATCGTCTTATTCTTCCCTTGCATTCACAACACTAACATAACCACTATTATCGACAGTTTGCAATAATTGTTTCACTTCCCTAACTATTAAGCACCGTGCACATACGACGATTTAAAAAATATTATCAAAATACTGTTTCAAAATTCTTCAAAAACTATTTATGTTTAGAAAAATGTTCTTGTAGAAAAATATCTATGTCGCCTTCAATCATCTTGCATCACTGATAATTAAGGCATCCCTGGGATTCAGTCTTGTGATATCCCGTCGTTGGAAGACAGCGATGTATTCACATGATTTTTCATATTCCGACGTATCGTAGGTTTCGTTGAGTTTGAAAGGTAAACAGGATCGAATACAGCGAGCCGATGAAACCAGCATCTTGTTTATCTGCAACCAAAAATTTATATAATTAAAACCAACCAATGGAATAAAGATAAAAGAAAAGTTAAAATACGTACTGGTTGATTATAAATTGGAACGCATTTAAAGCGAAATTTGAAAAAGAAAAACAAAGTACACAGGCTCAACTCATGTGCGATTCATATTTGGAATAAAGCCGTCATTCGGGGACGGTGTTTGTGTTGTGTAGACGTGCGCGCGACGACACATGTACCCGCGGCCTTGCCGGCCAGTGCTGCGCCTCGTTATCGATACGACGACCTCCGTGTCATTGGCACTTTGTTTACAGTACCGAGACGCCGATAACGTTCGTAAATGTTCGATGCTGAATGAGTCAGCGTTTTTATGAATGGATTTTATGATTTTTATTAAAGAAAAACATTATATTGATCAATATTTTAAAACTTTTTGGTTGTAATATTAAAATGAAAATTAACCTTGATACAATATGAACGATAATTAAGTGTTATTGAAGCTCGTATATATTCGTATACGAGCCAAATTTTATAAATTTTTTAAATGTGAACTGAAATGGTATTAAATTTTATATTATAATTTATCGATAGCAGTCAATCCCTAGCTGCGTTAAAGTGGGGGGCGTTGTGCGGCCTTCACAGAGCCGGTTGTAGCAGCGACCGGCCCCGGCCGCGCGTCGTCGCGACCATTTCGCCTTTCGCGCGCCCGACCTACCCGTCGCGCTCTCAATACGAGACTACTGCCTACAATATTATAGTATTTATATCGTAATGGAGATCGTACTACGAGAATCAATAACACTAAACAAAATTTGTTACATTTTTTTTTAATAATGAATTATCAAGAGGGAAAGTATGACCAGTAAAAATTGATATTGAAAGAAAAAAAATCGAAGTCGAGAATGAATGTCTGGCAAGTCAATTAGTGTTCATGCCTTTCTTTGGTGTCTAGACCAGACTCTAATTGCATATTTGCGATATAAATCTTGCAATGGAAAAAAATTGCTTTAAACAAGACTTGCCTTAATAGCTTAACATAAGTTATGCTAAATAAGAAATTAAACATTTATAATAATTTTAATATTTTTTCAGTTAAAGAGTTAAAGTTATTAATAAAATATACAGATAAGCCAATAAAAAACATGCGATATACAGAGTCGAAGGTATAAATATGTTTTTTCTCATTTCATCCATGGCGTTATCAATATGTTAGAACGGGATGCAAATAAATTTAGCGTCCCAATAAAAGGAGTACGTCCGCACGCAAGATGGCGTCACCGTGGCCTAGACAAGGCCGAGCGGTCATTTATACGAAACGTCAGACGAACGGCTTTGTCTGCAACGTGTTTGTGGATTACAAAATGGAAAATTTTTATGCGATTATTTTTTATCAATCACAATAATATGTACGACCTTATGATATCATATTTGTTAGTTGCATATTGCGAAGCGCATATTATCTTGTAGCATGTAATTTTAATTAAGGATTAACTCATTGCATAATTGGGCGATTTATTGTCTTTTATTAGTCGTCTTGTTAAACTGAAATCTTTACTAAGGAACTCCTTTACAAATTTAAACGACTCCAAAAGATGACTTTCAGGTACTTTTCATCATACGAATTCCTTTTACATTATTTTGCACTTTTTTTTGCAAATACAATGACACAATTGAAATAAGTAACCATTTTATACTTACAAAAATATCAACCCTCGACACACAGATGAAATAAAAATATACGAAAATATCGAATGAAAACTATTTTGAATTTAAGAAAAATTATAACAGTCGAAATTTAAGTAAACACATTTATGTAGTCTAGTCTATACGGCTTATGGGCTCGGCAAGAGATGTCCTTGCGCCGTTCCTTGCTATCGACAGACCCAAGCCGAGGCGTCGACCGATAATTATCTTAAGGTCACAGCACTATCACGATGACGTCAGCATCGTGCCATGTCGTGATAATGCCTCTATTGTACAGGTGCATATCTTCTACAAGCAAATGGAAAAATATACTTTCTTTTTTTATGATCAAAACTAGCGGTCGCCCGCAACTTCGTCCGCTCGGAATTAAAGAAAACCTAAGTACTAGCCTATGAATTCTTCCAGACTATGTTCTACATCTTTGCCATTTTCTTACACCTCCAAACAATCGCATATGTTATATTAGTAAAAAGTAAGATGGGAAATGCCAATCAGTTACTGATTTTTGGATATTTTTTTCTTATAAATATTCTATAGACTATTCTATTCAAGAGAACTCTTAAATCTATTTACAACAATATGAATAAATAAATATAGAGACATTTCAAAATGTTTCATCAATATTTAAAAAGACTAAACAAAGGCGTAAAAAGAATATTACTTTGTCAACTCCTTGTCTGAGCAATGTCCTTGACCCCATGGCGTTAGAGGTCGTCCGTCCCCTACAGACTGGAGTGCGTGCACCCCGTCACCTACGCTCGTTTAAAATAGACGAGGTGAACAATCTACATAACAAAGAACTAGTAACGTTCCGTGAATATTATAAATGTTAGACTGCCATAAAATAATTGCACCGTAAGAGGAACATCCTTTACGTATAATTACGGTTGCTAGGAAACTAATTTGGCTTTTGATATTGCAAATATATAATTAATTGATTTTATTATGCATATGATAGTTTCGTCAATCATCGGTTAACAAGCTGTCAGATTTTTATGTAAGTCTTAGTACACTAACTGTTGCATGCAACTCCGTCCGTGTGGAATTTAAAATAAACTTCATTAGTAGCCTATGTTTATCCAGGCTATGTTCTACATCTATACCTAATCACTGAGATCCATGTAGCCGTTCTGGAGATACTTTCAAGCAAACATCCATCTAAACATTCGCATTTATAATATTAGTTAGATATCTATATATTAAAAAGAAAGTCGTGTTAGTTACACTATTTACAATTCAAGAACGGCTTTACCGATATAGCTGAAAATTGGCGAGGAGGTAGCTTAAAGCCAGGAGACGGACATAGGATTCTATTTATTATTATTTTTTTCGAAATAATGCCTTGAAGAGCTGCTTTTTATTTAACTTACTAATATTATAAATGAGAATGTTTAAATGAATGTGACGTGGATGGATGGGTGGGCTACACTAATTAAGTTTTTTTATATATCGACGCGGACAGAGTCGCGGGCAACAGCTAGTATTTTACTATAATAAAGTTAAGTGAAACTTTAGTTTAAATGTTAAATATAATATAGTAAAGCGCACACACAGATAAAACTAGAGATCGAATGAATTATGAGTCAGACCCAACCTGGGAACTGTACAATTTACTTTCTCTTCAGTACGGCCAGTGCGCGAGAACAATTCGTTTGCAGCCTTTTATATACTTTTTACAATCTTATATTATTATCGTATCTATAATTCAAGGTTCCGAATGTTTAAAATAAACATTTGAAGGTTATAAATTATGTCAAAGTTATTAGTGACAGCTAAAATTGTGCCTTAGCATCTCTTGTTTTTGCTTCGAAAAAATAAAATAAGTATAAATGTTAGTTTTATTGAATCGAAAAGAATGTTATTAACCTGTTTATTTCAATAGATAATTAAAATTATAATTCAGAAAACAACGAAGTATTCTAATTAAAGTTGTCTTAAAGCTTTTTCAATAATATACTAATATTATAAATGCGAATGTTTAGATGGATGTTTGTCTGAAGGTATCACCAGAACGGCTGAACGGATCTCGATGAAATTTGCTATACATAAAGAACATAGTCTGGAAGAACACATAGGCATCATTAAGTTTTTTTTTAATTAGTAGTCGTAGGACGTAGTCGCGGGCGTTCGTTGTACAGAAAACAACACATTCTTAGCACAAATTAATTTATTTAGTAGGTGGAAACTACTTAATTTATTGCCCACTGATTGGAATTCATATCTAAAATAAAGCAACAACTCGTGTTATCTATAATTGCAAATTATAACAGATTTTATCTACAATCTTATTTAATGATATTAATTTAACGGTTGCCGTCGCGACCTCGAAGTGAACTAAAACAAATATAAATTACCAAAAGAAACACATTTATATTGTCTCTATCACAAGTCTGTTTGTCCGTATGTTTGGACAGCTGTCGTCTGTCTTGCCTGGATAAAAACATCGCGGCGAATAAATTACCATGAATTTTAACTCATTATAACTCTTAGTAATATTTATTATTCGTAGTTATAATTAGGTAAAATTCATTGTAACAGTATACGGTGAAGGATAACATCGTGATGCAACCTTCACATATCTACGAAGAAATTCAAAGATATGTTAAGTCAACCAAACCGCACTGGGCGTGGTCGACAGCCTAGTCACCCCTTGCTTAGGGTTAGCGCCGAGCCCCTAAGTGGGGACGTATAGCGAGCTGATGATGATAACTAAGAGTTTTTCTTTATATCATAAGGTGGCAAACGAGCGAAGTAAACGTTGCCCATAGACATACGCAATTGCATATGCGTTACCTACCTTTAATCGACGGAGGAGAGGATGCACAGAAAGAAAATATTTTCCCTTCCCATGCATCCTCTCATCCGGAAAGTCCACTTCCACTTCCCATCCATTCCTTATAAGAAAAAGGGTGGGAGGGGAAAGAGGACTAAATTAGACCTCCGGGACGCACACTCATCAGACGAAACGCGGAATTGCTTCCACTTGACGCCTGTCTTCTGTGTGGTCGTGGTATTTCACCGGGCGAGCCGGGCAAACTCGTGCGAAGATGTTAAAGCTCTACCACTGTTAGAAGAAGTTAATTATAGTATTTTGTTAATATTCCACTTAAAGTTACCACAGTTATTATCATTTCATTTTTTTTTGTTTTATGTCGAAACAGGTTATACATATTTTTTTCTTTTATTACAACGCGAGAGGGGATTGTTCATCCAAGTATTTTATATTTTAATTAAGCGGTCCTTAAAAAAAGCCGAATGTAACAAAAATAAAAGAGCTATATAAGATTAATTTATTACCGTTTTAATTCA